GAAATATATTGCGTTGAACTGACATCAAGATACCCGAAGGAGAACTGTTTTATGAAGGATATACTGTTCAACGACATACGCGCTACCTGCCTGATCGACACGGGTTCGTCAGATGTTTTGGTACGCATCAGCCTCGCCGAACGATCCACGCCGGCAATCCGCAAGGTCTGTCGTCCATTGGTCACGGTCGGAGACACGAACTCTCCAGGTGCGGTGACGTTGGGTGAGACCACTGCAGACATAGCCGTCGATAACGCGAGCGCTGCCGATCACCCGGTGCTTGTCGTCAGTGACGACTCTATCCCTGTGGACGTAATCGTAGGCCGGACGTGGCTAAATCTACCACACATCAGTTATTACAAGCGCCAAGATGAGCTGGTCATCGAGACACTCAACGGTATTAACTCTACAGCGCTGTCCGAAAATGTGTCTGAGGAAAGTACGAATGTATATGCAGCCCTAGTCAGTGCTGACAAGCCCACGATGACGCCGCTACTGCATACCGACGTCAAGATTGACCCGGGTGTCACTGAAGCCGAACGCGGCAGTTTGATGACGCCCATAAACAAGGACCGTGATGTGTTCGCCAAGACGTTGGCTGAACTCAATTGCACAGACGTAATGAAAATGAACATTGACAAGGTGCAGGGTAGTGACCCTGTGTGTCAAAAACCGTATCGCACGTCACCAACCGACCGCCGCATCACTGCACAGATTTTGAACGACTGGAAGTCCGCCGGTGTTGTTTCGGACTCTACGTCACCATACGCTAGCCCGGTGCTCCTTGTAAATAAGGGCACAGGTGAAAAACGATTGTGTGTTGATTACCGAAGGTTTAATCAACAAACACAGAACCAACCATATCCGATGTCGGATATCGACGACCTATTATCGCGGCTCGCGGAGAGCCGGATATTCTCCACGATGGACCTCTCCAATGGATTATTGCAAATTCCACGGAGCGAAGAGGCCAAGGAGAAAACTGCATTTGTCACGGAGGAGACCACCGCGAGGTTCGAACGAATGCCGTTTGGGTTGAAAGGGGCCCCCGGTACGTTTCAAAGAAATATGAACACCGTTTCTCGAGGTGTGATACAACCAGGACAGAAAGTACACGCAGTCAAGACATTCCCGCAGCCCCGGGATGCACACGAGCTCACAGGGAAGGATGTGGCGTACGAGCGAGGTCGAAGCAGAAGACGAAGATGGCGATGTCCGACATGAGGTCGATGATGAAGACCCCGTGGTGCGGAGCGCAACCCGACCGTCACCGGGCCCAGCCGGATCAAACGTCCACCTGCGTACCTGTCCGACTACAAGCTGGACTAATTCCTATCTACCTACTGCATCATGATATGCACCTGTTTGTAAAGTTATTTATTTAATTGTGAAAAATTATTTAATCACCCGTTGTAAGTTATTTATTTAATTGTGAAAAATTATTTAATCATCCGTTGTAAGTTATTTATTGTAATGTCGCCTAACGTTTCTGGCTTGGCTCTCCTCAGAGCGAGGACACTCTGACTGGCCAGGAAAGGCCGAATGTTAGCGACAAATGTTTTTTTTTAAAAAATGTATCATAATCAAATCAAGTTATAATGTATATTGTAAGGGCCGAGGCACTGTGTGCCCTGAACTGGTCACACTGCGCCTCGCGCCCAACCGAGACACGGACAACCGCGACGGCGGCACGTCCGGCAACAGTCTTGCTCTAGTTTTCGTAGCGACCGGGTACACCGTTTTGTCCCGCGTCCCCGACGACCGTTTATCCAAGTAAATCACAGTCTTGCTCTAGTTTTCGTAGCGACCGGGTACACCGTTTTGTCCCGCGTCCCCGACGACCGTTTATCCAAGTAAATCACAGTCATGTTCTAGTTTTCGTAGCGACCGGGTACACCGCTTTGTCCCGCGTCCCCGACGACCGTTAATCTAAGTTGTTAAGTTAGAAACCGTAATATTATGTTCTTCCAGTTTACTGTTTGTAAGAATAAACGCCGAATACCACACACTTCGTTCTAAATATTTACCTAGTTTCCAGAATCCTGACCCGAGTCTTACCTTAAACTGCTACCGATCGTTAGTTGTTTAAAGTTTGCTAACACAGTTTTCATTTTTTATAGTTTTTTTTTCTATAAATATCAATAGTTTTATCTGTTGGGCCAAAAAGTGTAAAAATTTAATACAAGGCTCCTGATATATTGTTACAATAGCAATTGAAAAATATTGAAAGTACATAGGCACAATTTTTTTTATAAGCATTTAAAGATCGAATTTTGACAAAATTTATCAAAATCTCGAAAATTATCAATCATTGTAATTATTAAATTATAAAATGTTCAGTTTTTATAGTTAAGGATTGCAAATTTAAAACAAATGTTCTCATAAATAGTTCATACTGTAACCAAAAAATCTAAAAAATATATGAACACAGTTATTTTTTACAGACATTTTAAATTCAAATTTGGACGAAATTACATATTAAAATCAATAATAAGTAATAACGATCTTGGTTTTTTGTTATAATTTAAAAATATTATTCGGGGATATATGAAACTGAAAAATCAAAATATTATGGCCTATCCATACAATCTACCATAGTATAAGGAATAAGAAGTATGCTCAATGATAAGACTGTGCATATTTGAAGGGGCAATGAATAATTTATTCATAAATTCCATATAATTTAATACCATAGATAAGTATATAATATGTCTTATACAGTTATACCTAGACTGCCATACCGTCTCCGTTCAAAATCGTTTTTCTTATACAATGATATTATATCATTGAATTCAAATTTAATACTATCCATTATACAGTGACCCACTTGTAACCTAAAGTACAGCAGAGCGACATCCACTTACCCACCTTTTTTGTGTCTGTCATCACGTTTTAGGACAGTAAAAGTGATTGGATTTTCTTCAACAGTATCTTTACTGATAAGAAAGTGAATCTAGTTGGTACTTTGGGAGGTCAAAAGTAAAAATTTCCCAGTAGTTTTCAAAAGCGCCGTGAAAAAACAAAAGAAAAATTAAGGAAAAACGGGAATTTTTACGCAAAATCTGTTTTTGAGAAAATCGATTTTGGTGTTTGGTGCAACTCTTAAACAAGGAACGAAATTTATACTGATTGTTTATATTAGCATTTTCTATACACCATAACATTTTCCAAATATTTTGACTTATTTTGAGATCTTTACAGACATTTTCAGTTTCCATTTTTTTTTAGTTTTTTTTCTAAAAATATCAATAACATTTTATTGGTTGGTTAAAAAAGCTTAAAAATTTAATAGAAGGCTCCTAGTATATTGTTTCAAAGGCAGATGAAAAATATTAAAAACCCTTAGTCACTGTTTCTTTTTATAAGCATTTGAAGTTCAAAAATTGACAAAATATGGAAAATCACGAAATTAGTAAATTATTTTGAGTTAAGAATTCGTAAAAATTTTTCTTCTTAAATCTAAGATTTTAAAATGTAATACAAGATTCCTTATAAGATAATCTACCTTTATCAAAAAAAAAATGTCTATAAGGAAGTCAAATTAAATTTTTATGAGCGTCTGAAATTCAAATGTTTACAACATTGGATATTCACTCGATTTCTCATGTAGCGATTTCCTTATTTTGTTGTAATTAAAAAACGAATGACTGTAGATACTTGAAAATTTCACTGAATGTTTATATTATCATTTCCTAGACACCTTACAATTTTGAAAATATTTTGACTCTTTTTGATCTGTTTACGGACATTTTCAGTTATAAATTATTTTAGTTTTTTTTTAAAATTATATTTTATATGCAATTAAGTTTTTAAAAGAAAATAATGGTGTTGATATAAATCATAATAACAAAAAAATATTACAATTATCAATTTTGTTCATTTCATAGGACATAACTGTATGCATGTTTAATAAGTTTATAAGGCATATCACATATGAATATTTGCCTGAATGACAACATAATAAGTAATAACAATATGTATCATTAGCGCATCCAGTGGAGCGGACCCCTAATGGCTAATGTCATAGTATTTTTTTTAATTTTTAAAGATTCCCTGACATTGTTATTAAAACTTATTGATATCCTACATATTAAATAATTGTGTTTATTAAGAAATAAAATGAATGTAAATACTCAACAAAGAAACAGAAAAATAGTAATTTCATACATTTTTTTTTTGGAATTATTAAATTTGGGTTTGAAAATATTCCCAACAATTAAATAATATAGTTATATTAAATTTAGTGTTTCAAAAATTTTCAAAATTATTAGCTATTATATATTTTAAATAATATATTAATACTCTAATATTTATGTAAAATGGTAACAATAAAGGTATTCAAAAATTGTAAGATAACATTAAGTTATTAATATGTATGCAAATTAGTATAGAATATTATGAACAATAAGTATATTATAAATTATAACAATAATAGAGACAAAAACTTCTTTTATAGTATGGTGAACAGATATGCAAGATAAAAGAATTTATTTCATTACATACACAATAAGTCTGATGAGATATTATCTCAGTAGTTAGTTGAATAATGGAATGTTTATTACACAAAAATAAACTAAAAATATTTAAACATTTACTATCTATAACAGACAAACTCTTATCTAATATAAACCAATACAATTAATATGTTTAATAAAACACCTATCTATTTCATATCTTAAAAAGTACATTGAATTTGTAGCTTAACAACAGTTGAACCATAGATTCCTTACTTTAAGGTACATACTATATGTATTACATATAAATCAAAATGTAATTACTTTGCATCAAATATAGTTTATTTATCTAAGTTTAATGATGATGAGGACATGGTAACTGAAAATAATTATTTAATATTATGAACAATGTAAACATTAATTTGATTTTGTATTAATTACTATAAGAGTATGAAGTACAGTTTTTTTTTTTATAATAATTACTCAATATTCTTGTACAGTGCCTAATTATATATTAGAAGCAAGATATCTTTAATATTACTTCAATTAAAATAACAAATCTTCATCTCCTTCATCCAGCATGTTACCATATTTAGCATTAGCTTCTTTCATATCTTTCTTAAGTTGTTCTTTCTTTTTGTTGGAAATTTTCTTCTTATCCTGAATCTTCTTTAACCTTAATAACATAAATACATAGAAAAATCTTTAAGTATAACTCCATTATATTATACAGGTCGATTCTTTGTCATAAACCAGGCAATATCTTATGAAATACAAGTAATTACATAGAAACATTTTTTTTTAGTATTTTTAAGATATATATTTTTACATATTAAGTAAAATAATTTGCATATAGGTATTTAAATTTATATAATATTAAGACTAGTTATGATTATTAATTATACTCTATTCAAGTTAAGAACTAAAATTAGGGGCCAATGAGTGGTTAGGTGTGACACTACTACAAGGTAGACATAAGGATTGTAGATTCTGTAGGGATGACAAATGGGTCTATCACTCAACAAAAAACAGTCGCTACTATGCACGGTTCTTAACTTCAATAGAGTAAATATAATTATACTTGACCTATAAATATACCTGTAAAATTCTTCTCGCTCTAATTCGTCAAGCTCGGAAATAATATATGCAAGTGTTTTTTCAATTCTGGGTATAATAACTAGAAAAAAAAGTAATTACTACAAGATTAGATTCATAACACATAAAAAAAATATAAAATAATAAAATATACAGGATAAGAAGATATTCCAATTTAAATACATACCATGTTCAATAGCATTGACTCTTCTATTTGTTATTTTAATAACATCATCCAGAGTAACAAAAGATGTTTGCAATGATGCTAATTCGACCAGAAGCTTAATTGCAGTTTGATAATTTTTTTTAAGCTTGGCCAACTGTTGACCCCCTCTAGCTAAACCTGCTAATTCATAAGTGTCTGTACCATCCTGGTAACTTTCAAAAACAGGCAGTGTCACACCTACATTAAATACATTTATTAATATAATGTTACAATACAATACAAATATTTTTTTTTATTACCAGCCACATTATCCTTTTTAGTGCGTATTTTTATTTGAGCTTTTGTTACATTTTGCAAGACAACTTGATTAAAATCACCAGTAGTAAATTTTGCTTCTGCCAAAGAAAATGCTGCTTCTTTCATTACCTCGCCCATCAATGTCTTTGTCTGCACACATAAGATAATTGTTTAATATTAACAAGTTTTGGCTAAAATGCACTTTACCACCCAATGCAAATTTTTCGACACTTACTCATTTTAACTATTTAAGAACAATGGTTCAATCAGAATTTGTCAGTCGGATTTATTTTTGAAGTTATGGCTTTTGGGAGTTGGCAATTATGCGTGTTTTACGCATGAGCGTAAAGCTACGTTTATCATATCTTTTTATCCGTGTCCGAGCGCAGTGAACAAGTGGCAACTCTAGCACATTATGTGCTTTTTAACAACTTTGTTTAATACCGAGGCTTACCCAAAGTGATTTTACACAGCAAATCGGAGGTTTTCGAATTTTTTGTCCAAGCGTAGAGGCAGAGCTGATTGTGTAAATTGTGATTTCACCTTCATTCTTAAATCGTTAAAATACGTACAAGTAAAATATACGTAATAACGCTAACTTTGGATGGCTATAGCTTCTAAAATAATGGTTTCCGACAAATTCTGATTGCACCATGGTTCTTAAATAGTTAATATAAGTAAGTTCCAAAAGAAAAAAATCAAAAAATTTTCATGTTCCCAAGTTTTCAGTTTAGAAAATGGCAATTAATAATAAACTAATATACATATTATTTAATATATTTAATTGTACCTGAATAATTTTACCAAGAATCAAACGAAATCTCATTTGTAAAGCATCAGCTTTTTTTTTTAATAAACTATGCCCTTTTTGTGCTCCCATTAGACGCCCTTTCATCATTGTTTGAGCACTAAAACATAATTAAAATTATAATTATATTACAGTCACAGTACCTATCTATAACAATATGTCTGAATAGGACCACCAATGCTAAAATCGGATTTTTTTTTTACACATAGTGTAAGTGTGTAGTTAATGTGCTACAATAAATTAAATCTATAATTTGATTGAATTAGTATAGGTAGGTAGTTTTGGAAAAATAACCAAGTAGGTTGTCTCAACATTTGATTAAATACAAATTGTATTTAAGCAATACATCAACAGACAACGCCCAATTTCAATATCTTATCAGTTGATTTACTCACCCACGAGATGGAAAGATTGGCAATTTGTCTTTTCCCGACATGATTAATAACTTACTGTTGAAAAATTAATGTAACAATGGTTAAGATCTTAAAATTGTAATACTGAGTAACTATTAAATAACATGACGAACTTATAAAATCAATTTATCCTTAGCGAGTTCCCTAATATTTTAGAAATCTGCTATTCTGCTGCTGAGTGGCGAATGCTGACTTATTGTGATAGTCGATAGACGATAGTTTACTGCAGTGTGCACTAAACAGTGTAGTCGTAGTGTGTACACAAACACAAATCACAATATACATACACAGCGAACATCCAAATAGTCCTGTAATTATAGTAGGTGGGGCTAAAAATGTATTAAGACTTGAGAGATAATTGTAAAAGTAGTAAAACAGCTGATCAATGATAACAGAATTGAAATGATATTATCTTTTACGTTGATCATAGATGATCCGACTGATCCGAGTCTGGAGTTCTGGAGTCTGGACCACGATTTAAGATAGTATCTTAAATCGTGGTCTGGACTCTGGACAGCTGTTGCACCCACGAGAGGAGCAAAATTCAGAGACCAATCAGCTACTTATTGTAATTATTAGTAGTATAATATATCTGTGATTGCAATATTTAGCAATCTAGTTTATTATCTATATATGTGCTACAATCAAAGTTTGAAAAATTACAACTCTCCAACATGTTACATATTGTCCATTATGAGGTTTGGTCAGAAAAACTATATTATGATATGACAATGCATTCGCGGGAATTCGAAAAAACGAGGATTAAAATTTGATAACAAATACGATTGTATCACGGAATATTTAAATTTTTTAAATTTTGAGGATTTACCTACGTTTAAACTTTAAATAATAATGATTATTTTCAGATGTCCATCGTTCGTGGACTGTAGTCCATTGATCCATACTCTATTGTCAGTCATTTAAATATTAAATATTTTAGTTTAATATAAGACTGAGAATTATTTCACAACAAGTTTTTTCAAAAATTATAATTACAAAATGATTTCTAACTTTTAGATAAATATATAAAATAATGAAGTTTCGTGGTAAAATTATTGATCCACATTGCATGAAACAATTCTACAGTAAATATAAAATATTATGTGTTTTTATTTTGATAATATGCTAATAAATTTTATTAAACAGGTATTGTGATTATTTTATCCAAATTATGTAGAAATGTAGTTTTGAGACTGAGTTCTACTAAATTATACTTAATCGCTTCAAATGAATCTAACAGTAATCAAATCAGTGTTTGGTCTGTATTAGACCAACAGGCATTTTTCAAAGACTATGACATGATTGGTGAAACAGAATCTAATGAAATTTTATTCAGTTTACCAATTGGTAAGTATTTTTATATTATAGTATATTAGGTATTATTTTTATTTACTCATAATTATATTTAATAGGAGAGTAGTTGGTATGTTAAACAATATTATACTCTTTTCACTGTTTAATATATACATTTTAATAGTATTAAAATGTTACTCTATATCGACTATATCTATTCCTATATAACATACATTTTAATTAGACTGTATTATAAAGAAAATTATCATGAGCGTAATAAATAGGCCTCAGATTTATAATTAAATAATTATTTTTATAAAGTACCTACCTATAACTAATCATCTTCTATAAGTGTAAAATCCGTTCAAAAGATTTCCAACAAGTTAAGCTTACATTTATTTTACACATTTTACCATAGTTATATACCAGGGATGACAAATCCGTAGAATGTGAAGAAATGTTTAGGACATGTTAATAATTCGTAATTTTATTTAATCATTATGTAATCTCTCAATGACAATGAATACAAAAATAAATTCACTGGACATGCACATATATTTTATGGCCCTGGAGTATAAGAACAATAAATTCTAGATGGGAGGGAATGAGAGATGAAGGAGAAGTGCAGTAAAATATTATTGAAAACATTTTAAAATAAATAAAAATGGTAGTGTTGGTGCAATGTTTGATCCAAATTCAGCTGTTTGTATTCAAAAGTCAATCTAACAGCAAAGATGATTAAAATGTTTGATGTCAACTTTGGATTGCTAATGTCACTGTTTGCAAATATTTAAAACTATTGAATGATAGACAATTATTAGTTTAGCATAAATGAATAGGTTATTAATTTTTTTTTTTTTTTTTAGATATGCTTGCGTCTTCACTGAGTTCAGCAAAACAAACAAACTTAAAAACTCTCAAGATGAAACTTACTGATAAACTATCGCCATGTCTAACTATCGAATTGGATCTGGTTATAATATTTATAAATAATTTGGCCATAAATTAAATATACTAAGTATATTTAATCTATGATATAGTACTTAATACGTATATGGTTTGATCAAAAATTAACAATACATTATTCATATTTTAGGAATCCCAAGTATCTAGCAAACAGTTATGTACTCATGATATTCCAGTTTCTGTTATACTACCAAAAGATTGGTCAGCATATAAGGAGCCAACCATACCTGCTCATAATGTAATAGTATTTATAAGTTTTGAATTTATTTTATTTATCATTAAATATTTTATATTTAAAACAATCAAGATAACATCAACAAATTTATGTTGTAAACTTGTAATGTTTTAAATAAAAACTCCTATACTCATACAAAAAATTATTTAATTTAGATTAGTGTTGTTATGCCATCAATACGAGTAGTACGGCACATTGTTGACAAGATGAAACGCATAGGTCCCAGGTTAATAGTATCATTAGATTCTTCTGGGAAAATGGTTTTAGGAGTATCAAATTTATCAGCCACAGTTGACACACATTTTATAGGTCTTGAGATAGTTAGCGTACACAGTTCAACCGGTGAGTGTTAACATTATAAATGCTTTAGCAAAAACAAAACTACTAATTTTAGATTCTGAGCCAGAACGTATATCGATTTTACAATGATGTGTGTTTTTTATTTTTGTGTCATCACCTTTTTGGGCAGTAAAAATGTTTTGGTTTTCTACTCGAATTTTCTAATTTCTGGTGACGAATTGAATAAGTTGGTACTTAAGAGTATACAATAAATTCCTAAAAGTTTTCAAAATAAAAATGAAGAAAAAACACAAATTTTTACGTAAAATTGACAGATTTTTTGGTCCAACACAAAAACAAAATGCCATATGATATTTTCACCAAATGTTTTTATTGGCTTTTTTTGTACATGGTATAATTTTAAATATATTTTGACTCTGGGCTATTAATAGATATCTAAAAAATAAAATTGGTTTTTACTATAAATGCTGATAAAAAAAACTTCAAAACTTTAATACAAGGTTCCTCTTAAGTTTTTGTCAATGTAATTTTAAAAAAAGGTAAACAAGTGGGTACGACTTAGCTGTACAGTAGTTGTTGAATATGTCGTCATTATGGATTATGTGTTATATTTGAATTCAATGATCAATTATTGTAGGTATACGAAAAACAATTCTTACGCGGAGACGTTGTGTCAGCCTAGCATACTTGTAAAAATAATCAAATTTAATAGTTAACACGTTAACACCGCCCTTGATTTCAGAAACGAAAGAAAAAACTAAAGCCACCCATACCTTTAAATTTAGAGTTCATTGTTAAAAATTTAACCATTCCTAGAAAATGCTAATATAAATATTTGGTAAAAGTTTCAAGTTTTTTTTTTGTTTTTCTTGACGTTATCTTAAACTACTAGGAATTCTCAATTTTTACCTCTTAAAAGTACCAACTAGATTTCAGAAAAGATGCTGATCTTGAAAATATCATTGTAAAATCAATACATTCATCAGAATCTCAGAATCACAGAATCTAAAAAAATGTTTTTCTGGTAATATATTGTAGTTTTTTGGATTAATATATTATATATTATAAGTATGTGTTTTGCGTTAATTTTTTATGATTGCAATTTTATCATTACGTTTATTTGAACATTAATCCAGACTAGCTTTGCATAATTTATATTTAAAATATTTAGACACTTTAAACTCTACTTCTTGTGAAGTATTGTTATAACTTTTTACTTTATTCATTATTAAACTTATGTATTTATTAATTTGTTTCAGATAAAGAAAACAAATATTCTACAGTAGTTGATATCAGAAAATTTTCACAATTTTTAAATTGTGAAACATTAAACTTGTCAAAAATATTATGTCATGTAGTTGAAGGAATGCTGTTACATTGCTCAATAGAAGAAGATGAATATGTATTACATTATTTTTTGAGTGGAATTGATGATTAACATGATTATATTATCGGGAAATAAATATGTAATCTAAATAAATATTTAGATGTATTAACTTATTGTAAACCAAGATCCATATTTTAAAGTAATGTAAGCTAACAGCTTACTATTAAAATATATAACTTTCAAAAAATCAAAATAAGAAATTAAAACTAAGGATTACACAATTTAAAAATTGATAGTTAATAAGTTGTGTGCTACTCTGCCAGTGATCCAGATTTTAAGCTGTATGTAGCCTTGTTCAACTAAGATGATTTCTAATAGTTGAAATAAAGTAGTTATTTTTGAATTAAAACACAAGTTCAAACGTAATACTTCAATAGTCGTGTGGAGTGATGGTGCTTGGGACTCAATAGGTACAGTGGCATATTTAAGGGGGGCAATTGCCCCGGACAACACTTTTTAGAGGGCAGACAATTTCTGTAGCAAATCAATGTCAACAAAACGTTCAATTAATATTTAAATATAAACAAAGCCCTTCTTTGCAATCAATCTCCACATCTGAAAATACACGTATTGGTTTGTTGTCGAATACCTAAACCTTTTGTTCTGTGCCTAAATTAAACATGTCTTGTGGGCTATGATATAAGTAACATCGTACTGTCAGTACAAGAGGGCTGTATATCAAAAATGCTATATTTTATACCTTAGACCGTTTTCAATATTTAATAGCTTACAGTCTACAGATTAGAGTAATTTTGCAAGTTATCTTGTACCACATACCTTTAAGTGTACCTATAATTGTATTAGAAAATTTCTTGTAAGTTTGATTATATACTTTTTAAAAACTTAAACTTACCAGAAATAGTATTTTTTTTATAAAAACAATAAATATTTTAAAATTTTAAGGACTTATATTGCATTGATAATTTTATTAGTTGCCTAAATATTTATATTATCAAACAAATTTTTCTAATAATAAATAATTAGGTACCTATGACAATATTATTAGGTATTATTGTGTCTCATACATAATATTATTAGATTCTTGAGTGATGAATACAATAATTTTACAATAATGTGTAATGATTTTTTTTTTTATGTGTTTAAAATTTAAATACACTATAAATAGTTTAAAAATGCTTTGATTTTCAACTTCAGTATCTTTTCTAGTGGGAAAGTGAAGTTTTGGTAGTTTAAAAAATATCTCAGTATTTTTTGAAAGCGACTAGAAAAACAAAAAATGTTTATGTGAGACACAAGTTTTTGACAAAATTGATTTTGATTGTTTGGTGTACCTCAAAAAAAGCAACTAAATACCTACATGATATTTTTTTATAAATTAATTTAGACGACCAATTTTGTCGTGATGGTGCTTGGGACTCAATAGCTATCAAACTATTCAAACATCTGAATATTATGCTGTTCTACGGACTCCCTCATATATGAATATGTGGTCCCCATATCCTTGACTGGCTCGACAATTTTCCAACGTATATACGAACTGTGGATTTTTAAACCAGAAGTCCAAATATGATAGTTATTTATTCTTTCAATTGGAGTTATTTAGATAGGTCCTGTATTTCCATTCTTCGACCAATCATTTAGCTTGAATCGTACTCTAAAACGTCGTGTTTACATATACATCTTACCAAGGTAAAATCATTTGGTGTCATTGAGTCATTCTAATTGTAATAACTCGTATTGTGAAACAAAGATATTTAAGTTCCTAGAAATAAATTTAGTTGAATCCGTGAGTTCGTAGCACTAGATTTAAAGTGCAGTAAAGTAAAGCTCAATTATGAGCGTGATAGGCATTTGGCAATACTTGCTCAACTATTAATTAATCACTTTAAATAGTGGCTTAGCTCTTACTCCTTTAGTCTTTTTGGTCCCGGAAATCGTAATAATATAATCTAGATATGTCTGAAATTATTAACAAATGAGAAAAAATTTACAAATTCAAATCATTTCAGTTTATACATTTTTTTAAACAAATGCATGGTTTTTGCAAAATTAAAATTATTGTACACTATTAACATAGGTACAATTAATTTATTAATGTATCATTCTATATTTATATTTATCTATAGTAAGTTTTTGGATTTTATTCTTTCAATAAGTTAGCAAAGAGAATTGATTTAAATGAGAAAATATTTGTAGGGAGAAAATAAATGGGCAATTAAAAAGAATCTGTGGGATATCCCACAGCTAAATATTTATGACGAATATATAGTGTTGGCCGGGAGGAATCATTTAGGCGGAGTTTGAATCTCTATAATCTATTATTACGTATTAGATAATTGAATTCTCTCTATATATTTATCATTGCTAGATCACTGAACCTGCTTTGAGTAATAGTGTCAACCTATGCATGTTTTTATTCTCCTTATACGTAGGTACAAAGTACATTCGCAATATTAATATCATTGAATCATTAATTGAATATTAACCAGGATAGGCTAAAAAGTAAAACGTATAGTAGGACTAATCCCTTTATAAACCTCGATGTCTTGGAGTCGTATGTGCCCAGGAGCTGTGGTCCTATTTATTCGGGCTTAAGAACTGTAGATTGTGTATCATTTTTAATTTCTTGAATATTGTTTGTTAAGCGATCGGACATTTTTTTTTTAAATCACATGTACGTAGGTACATTTAGTTCTATAAATTTCTTAGCGCAAGTTATGACTTATGATATTCCGTTCACCGAGAGATTGTGGTTATTTTGCACATACGAGTAGGTAATAGGTATACTACTGGTGCCGAGGAGTGCAATTTATTGGTTAAATAAATCTGTAAACTCAATAAAACCAGATACAGTCCAAAAATGTTTCATAAAAGCCAGGTTTAATTTAGTTTTGGACCAGTCAACAAATGCCATTAAAGATAATGGTTTTAAATTTCTATGTTCTACAATAAATTAAAAAGTAGATAGTGATGAATATGTTAACGTCGATAAGCATTTGTGTACTAATTATAATGATATTATTATTAATAATACTACAGTAAAAGTAGGTACCTTGCACTTCAATAGACGTTGAACAATCCAGTTCCGAAGACGAAACTGATAATGTACCATTGCGCGGCAATAATATTAAAACGTATAAAAACGCCCTCCATGAAATAAAACGATTAGAAATGTTCGCATTTGATCAAAATGAATGAAAATGAACTTCTTGAATCAATTCTCCAACTTTAATAATTTAGAAGAAAAGAAAATGGCAAGTCAATAACAAACAAAAACATGGGATGAATTTTGGAGTATATAATTATATAGAATAAAACGTAGGTAAAATGCAATAATAAATATGTGAAATATATGAAATAAATAAATTATTAATAAATCTATGGGAAAATATTTTTTTACAACCTGTATTAAATGGAAACCTGTCTAAAATGGAAAAAATATCCGATCCCAACGGTTTCCAATGTTTCCATATTACGCATAGGAAACGTACTACCCACCAGGGGCCCCCATCGTTCGATATCTGTTGCTGGCTCCGGGTCCATGCTCCCCTTAATTCGTGCTTAAATTCAAATGATAGTGGTCATATCACTATTATTAAGAATTTATGGTTAAGGCCTTTACAGTTTTTAATAGGGAGGGATTTTGACTTAGAGCACCTAATGCTATTATTTTAAATCTTGAAACATAATATGGGCGCACCTATAATAGGTATATTAATCAGATGTTTAAAATTGGATACATATAGCTACTGTGTGTTTGAGTATATTACATGATATTATAGTAATTAGTAATGATTGTCGAAACAATTGATCATATAAATATCGAAACAATTATACAAATTAATTATTAACAATTATACCAATATAATTTTATTTGATGTATTCTATTCTAGTTAATACAAGTTATTACCTACTTATTACTTATTAGGTACATATTATTTATATATTATCTAAGCTCGATACGGTCATACGGATACCATATTATTTAGGTATAGACTATAGGTTTAGGTAACTCATGCCTACATTATATAGGTGAGTATTACTCTTATTAGTTTTAAATTTAATGAAGTTAGTATTAGTATTTTACTAGTATATTAGTACCTACTTCAGAAGTTAAGTAGTAATAGTAATGCCGTTAGTAGACGGACTTACTATTCAAAAAATCTCAGAAAGTGTCGTCGCAGAATAGTACGTAATATCTCATATATTATACAATTATATACCTATTAATTATTTTAATATTTCTATGGTCTATCGCCTGTGTAATATTTTATATTTAGGATACACTACACGTATACCTACATCATATTATTATAGTAGTTACCACCTACCTATAACCTATTGATTATTATGACGGTGAAGCGGCTGCGTGCGATTAGATTAGGTACGTGAGAGTAATAGGTTCCAATATATTATAAATTATAATAAATAATAAATATATTATGGGTACCAACTATACTAACTATATTCGTCCATGCATAGTTTATCGTACATAGTAATATATATCCTTCCATTATATTGTGTACAGCTTACAAACAAAGAGTGAAATTATTAATTATTATTATAAAATAACAGTACCTAATAATAATAAATAATAATAATAGTACCTATGTAGTATATTGTAATACGTGATAGAGCAAATGATTTGTATAGTATAATTTTATCACCTATCACAATTAAACCTAGATCAGCTAATACTTATAGCCCCTCCGAGAATTCAAAATATGGCTTATCGGTATATCGAGTGTTCAGTACACACTCCATGTTTATATAACTGGTAGGTATATAACCGTGCCATCAACAAGCTCCCATTTTCCTGCCTACCGTATAGTCGAGTTGATCGCGCGTGTGGTACCTACGCATAACAGCCGCGCGGTAGGTATAATAGTCACGGTCACCCACTGCCCATATTATATGACATTTAGTATAATAGTGTATTAGGTACTCTGTGTAAATGAGATCGTTTTACAATATTTTCGTCGTTTTCTCTACCGTGGTGTTTTAAACAACATTTCTCGCTGCAGTGTTCGTGAACTGTACACGAAACCATTTTATTGCAGTGGCCTGATTATTATTATTCGTGATCATGTTTAATGGGTACTATGGGTCAACGTCGGAGAGCAGTGACAGCGACGCGCCAATCGACGATGGATCATCCATCAAGACAATGGATCTCAACTACCTGTTGCTGGACGGCGACACCATCCAGAAGCATTTGGACGAAATGTGCAAGCGCAGCCGACCAGATGGTATCGACACGATGTTGCTCAACCATAACGCTATGCTAACGTTGCCACCAGCAATCAATCGATTCCAGCACCTCCGCGTGCTCGACATTAGCAACAACCGGTTGACGCATGTGCCTGACTTCGTGGCACGGTTACCGCTCACTACGCTGGTCGCCAAGAACAATCTGATTGATGATGAAGGGTTCCCTAAGGAATTCGGTTGTTCCGCTCACCTCAAGGTGCTCAACATTAGCGGTAACAGGTTGTCGCACTTCCCCAAACAGCTGCTGTCGGTCACCACTCTCGAGTATCTGTACATGGGCAGCAACAACCTTGTCGAAATACCCAAAGATGTCAACAAACTCATCAGGTATCATATATTAATATTATTATTGAAGTTTTTGGTTTCACGATGTTTTTGTGTGTGTTTTGGTCACGTGTTGGTCATGATGCTCAAGATTCCTGAATAAACCGAATTGCGTATCTAAAATTGCGCAAGACGTGCGATTACAATATATTTGGTTTTAATCGTCGTAGAGATAGTACCTTGGATTGAATAAATATTAATAAATATATTATATATACATGTTCAGTGGCGTGGTGAACATTTATAAACCTTGATGCCCAGCATATATTTCAGTACCTACCCCTTCTTTATCCCCTTAATATAATATATAATACATATAATTATTATGGAACTGTAAATATTTTAATTTTTGTTGTATGTTATTGGTTACCATAATGTACCCAACCACCCCCCCCCAAAAAAAAAAATTCACCATGACGCCTAGGCGTCATAAAACCCCATTCACCACGCCACTGTACATGTTACCTATGTATAATCGATAGTCGTTAGGCATTTATTCATTATAGAATTTCAGTTTAAAGCACATTCCAAGAATAATTTCTGTAATTTAGCATGTAGCTTCATTTATCTGATACTTTCTGAGGGTATTTAATATTTACAGTTAAAATCATTCCCCAAGCAGAATGTAAGACATTTATAGATAAGTTATAGGTAGTATATAAAGGTCCAATCCAATTATACACATTCGAGTTAGACTCGTTTCTAAGTAATAAATGTATAGTTATATTTTCCGTATGGGTCAATGTGAATACTTTACCATAACGTCAACGAAACCAGAGACAAACGCATTTTCATGTCACTGACCTTGGCCTTTTGTCAGACCAAAGTTCTTCAGTTGTTATTCTCGCATAATATAGCCCTATCGACATATAAATTAAAATATGCAGTTGTAATTTGTTACTACAACAATATTGTTATTATCACTACTATAATGATTATCTATCGATATTTTGAATATAATTTAATATTATATATGTTTGATATGTATATATTATACAATATTTATTTATTTTTATTTATTCTTCAAGAAGATAATGGGCTCACTGAAGTACTGAACATGTTCATGTGGGGGCCCATATACTAATAAATTATGGATATATATATTTATTTGTACTGTAAAACAGTTAAGTTTAAACCAAACATTTAAAAAAGATATTTTATTAAAAGTGAAATTTTTTATAGGAATAAATATACATTATACATAACATGATATATAATAATATATTATATGTATTTATTATCGGGTATCCGGTGATATACATTTAACGTAAGAGGCTCATTATTTCAAAAACCATTAATATTTTTGAATTTTTTTTTTACATTATTTTAATTCGTTATATAGAAATGTCCACACAGATTAATAAGGAGAAAATATATGGCTACAACCCACCCCTCCCTCCCTCCCAATAGTTTAGTCCTAGTTGCGTCTATGGTCCTGTAGCATTGTCATTTGTAAATTTGTTATATGTAGAATGTAGCTAGTCACTTTAAGTATATAATACGTTTATAATATTTTATTTTAGGTTGAAGTTTTTATGTTTGGGTGGAAATCATCTGTCAGATGTACCTGTGACTTTGGGTATGTTGGATAATTTGAAAGCCCTAAACTTGAGCGATAACTCACTGGAGAGTTTGCCGCCAGCCATTGCCAATCTCAAACACCTAAAATCGTTGATGTTACACAAAAACAGACTTCGTACACTACCTATAGAAATCATATCATTGAAGTGCCTCACAGAGGTAAATACCATAAAAACAAAGTTGGTTTATTCATATTAATTTATGTTTAATATACATTGTATGGCCTTCTTTGGCCTATTATCTATTAACGTGGGCTGCCGAGCAATGTCACGGTCTTCATGAAGACATATGTATATGCACTCTTCTTCGTTATAATTGATTGAGTGAGTACTCAAATCCTATAAATTATAAGGAACGAATTAGATAGGTACTCGGTACATAATTATCATAATAAATAAGTTGACATTTATAGTTGGTTTTATATTGGGAATTTTTTTTAAATAAAATAAATAACAAATAAATGGTAACTTATTCAGAGACAGATGAGGTAGCTAAATTGTGTATTTTCTATTTGGAATAAATTTGTAGTTGTTTATTGAATAGGTAGAACTTATTTTTTAAGACTTAGCTCCAAGAAGAAAGGTAGAAGGTTTATTAGTGATTGGTCAATACGAAGAAATATCGGGAGGTTCAGTGGCGTACGCAGGGGAGATAACGGGCTGAAGCCCCCCCCATTGCTCGTATTATTATTACTTAAAAAAAAATATTTATCAAGTTTCCACTGTCAACTATAATAAGCAAGACGTAAATTTCATATACGTCTTACCAAAATGAATTCATTTTTGAAAAAGCATTGTATTTGCTTACCAATTTCCCTAAAATTATCTCTAATTTTTCGGTAAAAGTATAAACTACTTGTATGATAAAGACCTTGTATTACATTTTCTATATAGTCTTAGCTTATACAAATTTAATATTTTATAAGTTTTAAACTAAAAATTAACTGTGGTTTTGACGAAATTTGAACTTTAAATGCTTATAAAAAATAACCATGATGCCTTTATGTATCGATAATATTTTAGCTATAATAAATTCTTAAGTATTACATTTTTAAGCTTTTTGACCGGATAAATAATTTTTTATTGACATTTATAGAATAAAAATATTTTAATTAATCAAATATAATCCAAGTGAGGACGGTATAACCAAGCTGGTTACCAAACAATTTTAATACATTTTCATTTTTTTTCTCCAATTATTTTAAAAAGCACTGAGTATTTTCAATTTCGACCTCCTAAAAGTACCAAATAGATCCAATTTGCTTCCAAAAACATACCTACATCGGGCATCGAAGTTGATGATCAGAGAATATTTTCTACCAGAAAAGTTGAGAAGTTACAAACATTTTGAAATACCTCAAATAAACGTCTGAAATTATTAGACTGGACATAATAAAAATAAAATTGTAACTAATTTTTAAGCCCCCCCCCCCGCATTGAAAAATCCTGCATACGCCACTTGGGGAGGTTTACTAGGTTTTGGTATTATTACTAAAATTGAAAACTTCCATGTAAGGAATATGTATTGCATACAAATATAAGTGAGAAGTATTATTAATTATATATTTAAACGAAGAATTTAGAATGGCGCGGGTTCGATTCTCTCGACCACTGGGTGGCATTTTTCTCCGGGCAAGTCACGGTGTCCGGAGAACAAGTGCCGCCATCCCCCACTCCGGGGCATGGCAGAAACCTACGGGCGCCCCAATAGAAATTCTGCCAAATACAACACACACGTGTAATAACCCTACAATTTCAAACCCTACTACCTACAATCATAAACCCTACAATCAAGCTAATGGCCATAGTCACCGGGCTTTAAAAAGATTAATTAAAAAAAAAAAAACTTTAATAAATGCGATGTTTTAATGTTTTTGACATAAAGTAATGCAACCTACAGTATTACTAATAGTAAAATAAATTACAATATAAATAAGCATAAATTATAAATTTAAATACATAATGAAAAAAAAAACGGGTAAGTGGTTATCTAACGCTCTGCTGTATGCCTGTATTAGGAGTCTGACTAGAGAATCTATGTAATGGATGTGTTATAATTGAGTAATTGAGTTCAATGATATAAAATCATTGTCAGCCTATAATATTACTAAGTATCTTTGATAATGTTATTACGATTTAATGTAATTTATTTTACATTTTTACTATCAGGCATTAGTACAAAGTTAAATTCATTTTTGTGAAAAAAATAACATTTTAAAATATCATTGTATGTGTATAAAATATAATATTATACTCTAAAAGTTTCATATAGAGGTACCCACGAATAATATTTTTAAAATACAACATAAAAACTAAAATTGCTATTCTAGGATTTAATATGTATTTTTGTATTTTGTCCAAATTTAAACTTTAAACGTATATCAAAAATAACAGTGTTAAAATATTTTTTGGATTTTTTGTTCATAGTATTCAATGGGAAGTGAATCTATAAAAATAGTTGGTGCATTCGGTAGGTCAAAGTTTACAATTCCCAGTACAGTAGTTTTCAAAAGCGCCAGGTAAAACCAAATAAAAATTAAGGAAAAAGGGGAATTTTTATGAAAAATCATTTTTTGACAAACTCGATTTTGGTTTTTGGTGTAATTCTAAAACCTACCGGCTACCATATTAATAATAAGTAATGACAATATATTATAAATATAATATAAAATATCCTAGTCTGACAGCCGTCTCTGCTCAGAATCATTTTTCGTATACAATGATAATATTATATCATTGAATTCAAATTTAAATATTTAATACCGTCCACTACAGTTATACCCACGTCTTGTAACCCTACTGTACAGCAGAACGGTATCTACTTAACCCGCTTTTTTTGTTTTAACATATGTAGTTAAGCATGCTGAAAACTATGGTAAAGTCAGAATTTTGGAGGTAGCAATTAGTTTTGAAGTTATAGCTATTTGAATTCCTAGACTAGGGATGGCAAATCCATGGCACGCAAAAACATTTTGAGGGCTAGCGAAAAATATATTATTTTTAATAATAAATAACATCACAATGTATTTATCAATATCTGCAGATAAAATTGAATTATAGTAATTTACCAATAAATAGCCGTATGCTCATAATAATAAATAATAATGTACCTCAGTTTTTATGTACCTCTTTTCGTAATTTAATGGCTCTCTCGAAAAATAAATAACAAAAGGGTCAAAATAATTTTACACCCCTGTCTTAGACCTATCCATGGTGGTTTTACAAAACAAATCGTGGGAATGTTTTCGATTTTAATTGTTCGAACGAGCGCAGAGAGTAACCAGGCCGGATGTGTAGGTATACCTATCTATATGAAAACACTATGCATTTAAATTAGCTATAGGTAACTTTAAAACTAAGTCTAACCAAATTCTGACTTCACCATCGTTTTCAGCATGCGCAACTATATACGTTAAAACAAAAAAAAATTGCAAAAAAAATATATGCATTAGGTAATTAAATAGGTAGGTAAGGTACCAACTAGGTACCAACAAACAATATAGGTACCCATTTTATACTAAATGATACAATATTGTTCCTATGTTATGGATTCTAATCATTCAAAAGCGTACCTATTTATATTTTATAGTTGTTGGTAGCTTATATAATTACTTACGCGAATGATATATATTTATCCCAATTCCCAGTTATAGGTATATACCAACCTTTCAATTTTAATAATTTAACATTATTATTATAAACACATAGGGATGAACAAATAAATATAATATATAGGACATATTGTGCAGATAGGTTAGGTGCTTAGGTGGATACCTAGTACCTACAAACCTACTTTCCTATTTATATTAACAATATGATTTGTAAGAAGATCAACAATTACTTATTTATTTAAAATTAAATCACCTTAATAAATTGTGTTAAATTTATAGTTAAGCCTGAGGGACAATCCATTGGTTGTGAGATTCGTAAGTGATATGACGCATAATCCACCATCTTTACTCGAACTGTCTGCTAGATCAGTGAAAATTAACAATGTACAATACGGAGAACGCGATTTGCCTTACAATTTGATTGAATACTTATCGAGCGCACATCATTGTGTCAACCCTAAGTGTAAAGGTTAGTGCTTTCAAATTAATATTTTGGATTATTATATTAAACACTAACAAGATTTCGAAGTGTATTATGGTACACATGAGTACATGACTACATGAGACATTAACAGTCTGTCCACTGTCCTGCAGTTACAAGCAAGAGAACTCACCGATTTTGCGCATTCCCACTCGATGCCCTGTCATCGATACCGGTTCCCCTTAAGTAGGGTGTCGCGTGGGAATTCGTAGTAGAACCAATTTCCGTAGGGCTACGATGAGTTATCTTGCTGGATAGGGTAAAGTAACTATTGTCTATTATTAATATACCATACACCCATTAAACCTAAGTCCCACGCACTTACGGGGAAAACAGTTTTCAACATATCCGACAACTGCAGTGTACACTGAATAAATTTAAGATACAATTAAGATCAGCACAACAAATTTGTTATGGGTACTATACACTCTTCAATAACAATAAATAAGGGGGCCCATACAACTATCGAAGCATCTTGTTCAGTCAGACTTTCCAAATGTCAAATTTTTAGCTAGGCATGATTGCATGAACAAAACCCTTTGAAGATGGGACGGGATACCGGTCACCAGTCTTGGTTGCAATTTCGAGGTTGGTACTTGGTCGTAACTCATAACACCACTCAACAATAATAGAAACCGTTTCAATTTACTATTGTTTTAAACGTTTTAAAATCAATAAGCTCCGTTCACACGATCAAATAATTTGTCAAACTCCAAATATTTTAGAACCATTTCTAAAATATTTGAAGTTTGACATAGGTATATCAAATATTTGACAAATTATTTGATCGTGTGAACGGGGCTATACACTTATAGGTATATCTTAATAAAATTATTACAAACGTAGAAGAGGTTTATTTATCATTTTTAGAAAGAACATATTACAGTGGACAAGGTAATAATAGGATTTATTATGGATTTTAAAAGGATAAAATTGAGCTTATATCAGGCTGTAATGAATCGGGGCAAAAAAAGTCCATGGAAAATAATTTAAATATAATATAATAAATAGGTATACATAGGTATAGATTTTGTGTATTAACCATTTGATCATGTGTTACATTTTAATGGAGGGTTGTCATTCTCATATAGGCAATATATATTGCTATTAATTTATTATTACTTGTAGTTGTTTCATTGACTTCAGGTGAATATTTAAAAATTTCTTTGGTGATGCCTTGATGGCAACGATTTTGAACATTATGGTCGATATCTACCTATAGGCTATAAGTGCACCTATGTCCGACAATGTATTATTTGCATAGAGCGGGCTGAAATCTTTACACAGAGCGCATTTAGGCTTAGTGTTGGTAAACAAACAGAATTTGATACAGCTTGACGTGGGGGTGGAGTGAGCAATGGACACAGCGAGGGGTACCTATGGCCACAATATATTTTTGTACGGCTAATGGCCATATGACAGGTACATTGAGGAATTATACATTCTTAATGATGTTTTATGAATTTGAATTTGGTGTGTATAGAATCGAACAGATTTAAAATGTGTCTTTGTTGTAGGTACTCTGAACCAGTGGTGTACCCAGGGGGAAGATTGAGGGTTATTTAATTAAAATTACCAAAAAATGCTCTAAAATAAGCAGCATGTAGTATGTACCTGCAGGTAATGTCTGATATACATAGCTAAAATTATAAAGTAAAAAAAGGGGAAGCGGTATGTATATAGTCATATAGAAATATGCCCTAGTACAGGCAAACTGTTTTAAGTGCCAAAATTTAAACTTTTTTTTTCGAAAGTGCCTTTAAATTATGAAAATAGGTAGGTATATATATTATGACTTATGAGCATTGAGCATATATAAGGCTATTCATCAGTCAATAACAATTAAGTATTCAATTTTATCTGTAGACATTAATATATAGGTACATTGTGATGTAATTTTTTATTAAAAATAAAAATAATATATTATATATATATTATATAGGTACCCAATACAAATATTTTAACTTTTCGCGTGTCATGGATTAGCCATTCCTGCCTCAGTACGATATTAATTATTGTTAAAAATGCTTAAATTAATCAATGATGCCTTTTTTGTTAGACTTTGTAATTAATTCCACAACTTCATAAAACAAATTTATATTTTAAACTGGTGGGTAGGTAGCTAGAATATTCAACAACTAGCATAAATAAACATGAAAAAGCAAGAAGTCCCTAAACTGTTTAATACCTATGTACTCACAATGTAGGTGCCTATCGGTCATCAGCCATCACCTACCTACCTAACCTATAGGTATGTTATTATTTTCCTAGTGTTCTAAAATTTTCATTTTGGTAATCTTAATTCTATAAAGTAGGTAGATATTGATTGAAAATCTTATATATTTTCCATTATTATTAGTGCCACCAGTGGCGTACATATAGAAATTATTTTCACTATGGGCCAATTCATCACTAGTCAGCATAGCGCGTCAAACGGACTAACATAGCCATAACTATACATTTTTTAAGGAGCAGGGTGGTTATAAGTAGGTACTAATAAAAATTGCGCAAATTAAATTTTATAATTATTATGTGAAATTAATTTTTAATTCTTTTTTAAAAAGTATAGATAATTTCGTATACCTATACATATATATTTTAATGTTATCTTATTGTGAATTTAGCACATAAAAGTCATCAAAGCAAGTCCTGACAATCTAACATTTCCTTGTTGATTCCTCAAAACGATTTTAATCAACCGGCTAAATAATTAATCATGGTGAAAGACTGTAAACGGTGTATATATACATAAAATGGTTTAATTGTACCTGCAATTTCACTATGGGCTCTGGCCTAGGGGGCCTCCCCCCTATATACGCCACTGAGTGCCACAGAATAAATTATGTTTGTGTCAGTACCTACTTAGTACCTACATTTGTGTGGTAATGTTCTCAGTAATCTCCCCAAATTTAATCAATCGGTAACTACTAAAACCATATTTTTTTTTTTGTTATTATGATATACCTACTAGGTACATACTTACTTACTTATAAGTTACCTATAACTTATGAATAATGAAGTTAATAAACCTACCTCGTTATCAACTAAGCAAAATCAAAATATTTATTGCAGTTTAATAAATAATAAGTCTCCATAATATTATAGACTCGTGCTATTAACAGATTATTTTATTAAGTTCATTGTAATTGTGATGTTAACATTTCTATTTACTTTGGCAGGGGTGTTTTTCGACGACAGAGTTGAACACATTAAGTTTGTGGACTTTTGTGGCAAATACCGTATTCCGTTGCTACAGTACCTGTGTTCATCAAAATGTATAGTCAATCACAGAAACATACTTGGAGATAGCACCGACAGCAATATGATGAGAAAAGTTTTACTCGGATAAATCCGTAAATATTTTTTTAAAACAAATAGGTTACCTATTTACTACATATTTTATTTGATACATATGTAACTACCTATATTTATGCATACAAGCCCCTATTAAGGCTATTCAAGACGGCAAAGGGTTGAGTACAGGCAGGGTAGGTACATAAAATAAATTCAACCTACCTATGTAACTTATTTTTTGTAGAGTTTAAGATTGATGATAATAATTAGCAAGCAAGAAAACGATTAAAACTAAAAAATACTTATTATTAATAGGCAACAGTCAACTTAAAAATGACGAGTATTAAGTCAATCATAAATGTTGATGAACAGTGATAATAAACCATTCTTTGATATTCCTAAACACATATGATTCATACATATGAAATTAATAAGATATTAAACATTTTTAAAAGTTTTAAATTAATTACCAAATTCAAAAATCCTAGAGATCAATAATAATTATTTTATGATTTTAAATGACTATGATAGATTTTTAGATTAAAAAAAAGTAATTTTTCCTTAATTTAGGCTTGTTTACATATGTACCATTGAAATAGAAGTTATCCTATTAAATTCATTCAATAAGATTTATGTTATAATTATAAATTTATAAAAAATATTCTATCCATGTGTTTTTTTTTTTAAATAATTGTATATTTTTGTAGACATATTACGTGAAAGTGTACTGAATGAAATATCAATTGTTACAAGTTGTTTGGCAAATAAAAACCATTCCAATTTAATATTGAAATTATTATTATATACCTACCCAATGGTAAACTAGAAGTTTTTCAGAGGCAAGTCTAATATTACCCGATTGAGCAATTTACTGTCATAGTTCATAAAAAATTATTACCCATTGGTCATTACAATCATAATTAATCCCCTACCCCCTGAACATTTTGATTACCTCCTAGCCATGCAACTACACCCTAACCGAATCTTATTGGGTATAATATTTTCATCACTATGCACGAATGGAGTGCTATCATTTAAAATATCATATATTTATATATATAGATAAGAACTTTTTGCAAAATATTACTTAATAGGAAAAATATTAGCCTATTTGTTCAAACAGATAATCAAACAGACATTCATTTAACAAAGTATGATTTTAAAATAGGAACAAATAAAAAACCGATTAGTATATCTCTTATTAAGTATTAAATAGGAAGGTAAACTTATTGCTCTTTTAATAAGTACATAAGACATACTTCAATGTGAAGTGGAACAAAATGTATCTTATTACAATAAAAACAACAAATTACATCATTTTTAGCTGATTACTATATGAAAAGAATTTACTAAGAAATTATGTATTATCTCTATTACACTATTTGCACATGGCTGAATATGACATAGGTACCTAATATTATATTATGTAAAATAATTATAGAAGTGAGTACCAATACGGCAATACATTTGTTATTACATAGACTTTTTATATAATCTTTATTAAGAAAATGTATTATTGGTACCTACATACCTGTATTTCCATAATGATTCAGTATTAAATCAAACATAATATATAAAATCTAATAATTAATACCTCAACAATTAATTTTATAATATATTAGTACATAATTATAAAATTAATACAACTACCATTCAAGACTGGATTAAGGGGTGGGGGGGTCTAGCCAGGGTGGGAGCCCCGTGGCCCTCTCAAGTGCCAAAATGAAAGGGGCCCAAACAAATTTAAGCCGATACACATTTTTTAGTGATTTTAAAGAAAAGTTTTTCTGTATTTTAAAAACCATTTTATTTTATCGACAAGAACAACTTAAGTAAAAAAATAAGTACCTACAAAAGCACTATGGTAGAAAAGACGCATTTTACTGTTATTTAATATTTTCATTGATATCAATAATATCATCAATAGTTAAATATGTTATTTATGGATGGACAGAGCTTTTTCTAAATTAACTAGAGTAAAAACTAAGTATATAACCAGTCAAATCCAAGAAAACTTAGACATACAAAGGATTTTATATTCTGAGAATGATTTGTTAAAATCATTAAGACTTAAATGAAGTACTAAGAGAGTTGGCTTCAAGTAATGCAAGAAAAATAAATTATATGATAAAATGGTTTTTGTTTGATATTTGTTGTACCTAAATGAGTATACTGTTAATAAATTTAAAAGTCATTATGAAAATTTAATTTGAATTTAAATTAATGAAATATGAAGTATTAACTTTTATTATACTATTTATACTAAAATAAAATTAGTAGTTTTATAGACATGAATTATATTTAAATATTAATTTTATTATTTTATAATGGAATTGTCAATTTGTGAAATACTTAGAAAAATGAATGTTCCTGCGAGTGTAGCGAACAGCTTTTTAAAGCATGTTTTGTCAAAAGGGCCCATATGAAATTTCAGCCCCGGGGCCCAATAGGTTCTTAATCCGGTCTTGCTACCATTTAATAAATTGCGCCTATTGATATACCTATTTGAATAAAATAATATATAGCATATAATATATTTGACAAACAAAAATAAATAGACTATAATATCTAGTAGAAAAGTTTTAAATTAAATCAATTTGGTTTTTGTATATAAGCTAGATAATGTGCATCCATTAAAATTTTAAAGCTTAGATTAAAATTGTTTCCCCCTTTAAGTATTAAGTTATTAATAACAGCTTGGTCACATAATATTTATATTAAACAATGACATTCATTATTGAATTATTTATCAAAACATAATCTAAATTATCATGAAGGAATTTAAAATTATAATATAAATTAAAAACTGAAAATATGATTACCTTTGGAAAATTAGCCAAATGATTACCATTCTAGAAACTTACAACTTAAATAAACTTTACTGAGTTCTACAAAAAGATTATATTATTATATTAACCTTCATAAAGATAACTGCCTACAGCTAATTAATTGCTTAATAATAATAATGCTTAACGAAAGATTTAAGTCATATCTCAAATGTGTCTTAATTTAATAGATAAGTACAGACACAATTTGGCGAATAACCTTGAATTCTGCCAAAATATTCATACACTATTTTTAGTGACTGTGAAATGTCATATTAAATTTGAAACACTATTACTGAATTAAATTTAAAACTGTTGAATTTTTTTTAATATTTTATGAAGGATAATAAACATAAGTAGCGTTATACATTTAATTTCTATGAATAATAATTATTAATTAATTACAACAAATTATTGCTTTTGAATACAAAGAATTTGTTTAGATACTACTTTTTAAAAATTAATCTGTTATCTTCTTAATCTCAATTTTGTATTCCACACCACAAGAGAACACAATTGCTTTGAGCATCCGAATGATTTACTCGAGTAGACAAGAGGCCAATTTTTTTTACTCCGCTGCCACCAGTCACCTTTTGAAATTTCACAGCCTACTCTGGTGGTCGCTGGTGTCTCGTTTTAGATCGACTTTTAGCGAACTGAAGACAATTTGGTCAGCAAGCAGTTGCGTTCTCTCGTGGCATGGTCTATAGACTTTAACAAACATGGTTGAAATTAAATTATAATTATTTATGATCATGAACTAAGATATACAGAACTGGACACTAAGTCTTATCACCCGGTCAGACATATATTTTAGTTCATGATTATGATATGTTTTTACCTAAACCATTTTTTCCTAGTGTCATGTAGTGCTAATTTTGTGACATGCATAGAACTTTCACTAAATTATATAATATTATTTAAACTATATATTATTGCATTCATGTACTAAGTATTCGTAAAAAATATTTAAATAGATAGTATGTTATATTTGACTAATACAATTATAAAAGTAAAATAATGGTATCTAGTATTCATACCATAACAATATGTTAGTTCAAATAATTTTTTTAACTGAACTAAGTATAAAATAATAATAATAATAAATAAGAAATAAAATATATAAAAAGACTATTAAAATGTATGCATTAAATGCCAACAATATTTAATAGTATTTTTTCGATTAAGTGTTTTAATTATTAACCATGTATGAAAATTAATGTATCTATATTTTAGATTTTAATCACAGAATAAATTTATTCTGTGTTTTAATCTTATAATAACTTTAAATAAACTCGCACTTCAACATTTTACAGTATAAAAAATGATTACAGTAGAAAATAAAAAATAATGCACACTGGATAGTTATACAATTTTCTTTTAAAAATGTTTGAGAAACTCTTCTGAACAAATTCTAGCTCTTGCATTGATTGCCAACTTCATTTCACTGATTTCTTTGTCAATTTCTTCCATAAATCGAATAATGAAATCAATAAGTTTATTTCTGTACATCTGTTCCACATGCATGTTAGTGATTAGGAATGTTATGTCATATCCAGCAATTGGTTTCCTTCTTAGAATGAAAAAATTTTCTGCTCTTTTCATCATGAATCGTGTGAATTTATCACACAGTAATCGCTCAATCTCATCACATTGTTTAATTGCTATACTCACCCGTATTGAATTTATAGAGCTTTCAATAAAAACACGTTCTCGCTCATTACGACTGATTAACATTGGAGTCAATATTAACTCTCTGTTGGTTTGCATTTCTATTTCTGGTTTGCTGTGACGTTCAACTACTTGCGAGTAAAACTGGCTTATACAGATAGCAGCATCCAACGAATGCTTTACAACTGAAAGGTAAGGTTTTAGTGTTGTTGTCATTGTTGAAATCTAGAAAATATCAGAAATATAAATAATATTAATAAGTTTGAAAAACGAAGTTAATAAATCAATTAAATTGTATACCTAACATATGAATACTAAATACTAATATAGTAATGACTAATATTACTTTAAACTATAAAAGAATAAAATATTGTAAGGAAGTGTTAAATAATAATAATAATCAGAGTTTGATAAACTTATTTAGAGGCTGAAGTCCGACTCTAGTCTTTTACACATGCTTTATTATAAATATAAGTTATAACATAATTATTATTGAAATAATAATGTACAATAACATGTAAGAAAAAAGTAACCACAATTTAAGTCTTAAGATATTGATGATGTAGATACAATTGTAAAAATCACTAACCAAATTATATTCAAGTTAAAGTTTAAAATTACGTTCACTTAGATTTTTGCCAACAAATAAAATTATTGACCTAAAATAATTCAAGGATATAACGTGGACGTTTAAATTAAAATCATAAGTATTCCAAAAAACATCAATTTGATTTTAAATGAATACCTATATTTTATTATTTTTATGAAAAAATTATAAATACAAGCGTCAAGCACACATTTTAATTTTTGCAATCTTTTATTAATTTGGTAAGTATTGACATTGATAGAATTAGAACAATTTTAAATCTGTTAAATATGGAAGCATTCAATTTTAAACATGTGTACAATGTGATGAATTTATATGGGGGCTATAATAGCCTATTATATTTCTGGTAGAAAACATATATTCTAAAAATGTAACTAAAAATAATTACGGAATGGGGGGGGGGATTAAACAAAATTCCAGGGGGGCTATAGCCTATATGGCTATCAGTGACATAGTTACGAGGATAGGGGGCTTGGTATAGTCCCTCCCTATGACTTTTTTTCTCAAAGACTGGCACATCATAATATATATTATTATCTATGTATTAATTTAACACTACTATAGTATATTTTAAGGAAAAAACAAGGTAGCTTTGTAATAAACACTATTTCACAAATAAATTATACCTATTAATATATTGCATTGTTGTACAAAAACTAACTCAGTAGTCACATATTATTTTATCGACGGGCAATGACCCACATCAGCAAAGCTGTATAATGTATAACTACTTCGATCGTATGTGAATATTTAAACATAATGCAATTATTAGTTTCCAAGTATGCATACATTTATACATGGTTTCAACAAGTCATATTATAGGTAAGTACTTATCACAGTGGTTGTACTGAGATGCTTGATACGTAAAACAACATTTCGGGAGGAAATAGGTAAAATATACAACAATTTCATCTCCCCCCATAAACTTGCCCAAATTACGCCACTGTTACCTATATAAAAATGTATATTTTATATTATCAGGTAGTATCACTAGGTATGGACACATAAATTATTTGAAAAGATACATTAAATAATAACGGTATCTCAATTTGAAAAAATGGGGAATGTAGGTGATTTATAGTTGTGAAGATTAAGTAATATAAATAGTAAATACAATGTTTAACTCGTGTTTGAGTCAAAAGCAAACGCCCAACATTACCCCAAAAATATGTAGATATATGATCTATAGTTTGTGATGATTATGAGATGTTTATACAATATCTGAATAATAGAAGTAAATAGTAATAGAGATACACTTCACTCACCTTTTCTTTACTAATTATATTCAATATTGTGAATATACGTATATATTTTTGTCAAATGTATGTGTTGAAGGAAAAATGATGAGAAAATCCTTATAGGGTATTGTAAGTAGATGGCGAGTTAAAAATCCATCAGAAAAATAAAGAGTACTTTTAAACAGACTACTGTAATTGTTTTATTTAAATAGTTAATTATTCATTATTGTTTAACTTAAAATAATGAAAAAATAGTACCTTATAAACAAGAAACAGAACTACAAAAGACTGAATTGTTGAGTCTATTATAATTTTTACTCTATTTTAACCAACTGATAAGTTTTGACAGTATTAGTATTGAATGCTGAATGCTGATAACACGATCACCACCCACTAGCTTCCTGTGGTTTCTACCACGGCTGCAGGTATTTCTATAACCTTGTTTACCACCTAACCACGAACAATAAACGCGAACAGGACTGATTACGCTTATCAGCAGAAGATCTGACCCCTTCCCGATTTGGGACTTTGTTGTTTACTTCTCGATGTAATCACGCAATAATATTGTGAGTCGAATTCAAAATTCAACGTTTATTTTATTAATTATAGACTATAATAGTATTAAAGTATTAAACCATTACTTATTGTGTAAATCCGATGAATTGCTTCAAAGCATGATCTGTTTTTATTTTTTTTTCATTGTAAAATTCAATAAATTATGAAAAATAAAAATACCCGATTTTTGAAACAATCGTTTCCTTCATTTAAATGTACGCGTCTATACAATGTGTACAATAATGTTATGATAATGTACCTAAGTTTTTTATTTCAATTTACAACAGGAAAATGTAACAGATAAATACAAATTAATTTTACCGTCGGTTTGATTCGATCGTTTTGATTGGGATTACAATTTAAATGTTTCAATCATGTCTGATGCCTGGCAAGAGATTCAAGCTGTAAAAAGCAAACGGAATTCACTACGGGAAAAACTTCAGAAGAGGAAAATAGAGCGGCAAGTTATTCTAAATGAGGCATCTGATAAAATTGTTCCTAGTAAGTATGAACTAGCTATGTCAGTGATTCAGTGTTGATCATTTATAATAATAACATTTACAGGGGGATCTTTATTGCCAAGTACGAGTAATGCAGAAAATGAATCAGATTTTGATTGGAGCAAAGTGGGCGGCGAACGTGTATTACTTGAAATACTCGTTGATGTATCAGTTAATCTTCCGATCACATCTCATCAATTAGTGACTGATCTTTTAAAAAAAGAGTCTACCTACATATCACATTCATCTGTTGTTAATTTGCTATACAAATTTGCTGCACAAAATCTTATAAGGTATTTTTTGTTTTATTAAATTCCATTTTATAATGTCTTATAATATTATTTATTTAGCTTAAAAAATATTACAATTGATGGCCAGCAAGGTTTGAAAATATTAACAGCTGAACATTCAAAATTACTTGCAATGACTAATAATTTATCATCAGAGGTTGATTCAAATTTGCATCTTGAAAAATCTCGCTTACTGATAGAAGATAAAATCAAACAGCTTGAATGTAATTCATATTATTTTGTTACACAATATATTTTATAGTGAATAACTATGAACTTAAACAATTTTCAGATGAAGATATTGATGAATGTTTAAAAAATCCAAAAGTACAAAAGTTATCAATTGATTTTAAAAAGTCTGATGAGTCTGATGATGACATAATGGTGAGTAGAATGTGAGAAAAGTGTAGTTTACCATGTACCTCGAGAATTAAAATGACTTAGGAATTTTACCAACTTAAGAGTTTAGAATGGTGGTGAAATCAGAAATTATTACTCGGACTTCGTTTTGATGTTATAGCCATTTTCAATTCATATTGAGAATCATCCTTAACATGTGTTGATGGAACGTGTCTAGATTTCCGAAAAATTATATTAATTTGACAATTTCCATTGATATAGTGTTGCATCATAAAGTAATTTCATAGTTTTAACCCTTGTTTTAACTTAACTTCATGTCTTCATTTGGTATAAAACCCCATTATTGTAATTATTTGTTTAATACATTATCAATCATTATAAATTATTTTTTTTTGTTTTTTATGGTGTTGGGCTCTAATTAATTGAATTGAGAAAATATATTTAATTATCTATTCTATGGATGACACTAGAAACCAGTTTTGAATTATGATCCTATTAAGTTTTCCTCATCCAATCATAGTCATTTTTCTTGCATGATAATTTCTACTATTGTAGATTAATCATAGTAAAGATGAAGTCCGAGCAACACATTATAATTGACTATTGTTCTTAAATCAGGGAGATGAAATATGAAAGCTCAAGTAATTTTAATTTAATTTCTTGAGTAGCAAGGTATACTTGATTCAAATGTAATTTGTAAAATAATAAGTAAAATTCTTATAATGTAATCAAAATGCTGTTTATAATATGCTGGTTTAGTCCCTTATTTCAATGCCTTCCATTAGAGAAAAAGAAATTAAAAAAATTAGTGAAGAAATAATGGAACTTCTTACCAAACAAACGGTTAAAGAGAAATCTTTATGTGAAAAATTTCGGTCTAAAGGAGGTAAACATATTAAGCATTATAATAAATTAATAACACACAGTTAATACTAATAGATATTTTTTTTATAATAGGAACACATGTTATGGAATTTTGTCCACACGGTACTCGATCAGATTGCATGGAAGGACATGTTTGTAAAAAGCTTCATTTCAAAAAAATTATCCAAATGCATACTGATGAAACTTTAGGTGATTGTTCTTTTCTAAACACTTGTTTTCACATGGATACTTGTAAGTAAGTATCAATACATTTTATGCTAATATATTTATAAAACTTAATGTAATTACTAATTAGAAGGTTAAATTATAATGTTGACATATCAGATTATAAATACATTTATTGGTAAATATTCTAGGTATTACAGTGAATAGATGAACTCCAGGTGCATATATATTTGTCAAATGAGCTATTATTATATAAATTACTTTAAAAACTTACATATATTATACATATTTATTGATATTACTATATTTGTTTATTAAATTAGGTATAGAGTTTATCAGAGTATAACACATTTTAAATAACTTAAACTAATTTATAAACTTGCTAATTTATCTTTCATATAAATATAAATCGACAAATAACTCTATACTATATAGATTATAAATACTATAAATATTTATTATTTATTAGTATTTACTTAACTATTTAAATATTTGATTTAATATAAAAATGAATAAATAAATTACATAATAATATTATGGATGGTAAATATAAAAAAAAAAATTATTTCTTATATCTTGTAAAATTGTGCTATTTACTTGCTATAGATATGTTCACTATGCAGTTGATGGTGTAACTAGTAAAGTGAATTTAGTAAACGCCCTTAATAGTTTTCCATCCAAAAAAGGGTTGATTAATGGTAATTATGAATTGCTTCCATGTCAGTGGATTCAGTGTGATTTGAGGTTTATGGATTTCACTTTTTTAGGTGAGTAATAAGTCAATATTCAATTATCCAGGACATATTCTGTCCAATTTATTATTTTTAATCTTCATACATTGTTGTGTAATTTAGGAAAATTTGCTGTTATTATGGCTGATCCACCATGGGATATTCATATGGAACTTCCTTATGGTACATTATCTGATGACGAAATGCGGCGATTGGGTATTCCACAATTGCAGGATGAAGGACTTATATTTTTATGGGTTACTGGACGGTAAGCTTAGAGCATAATAATTGCATTAACTGTATTAAATTGTTATCATTGTAATAACATCAATTCTTTAAAGAGCTATGGAGCTCGGCAGAGAATGTCTAAAATTATGGGGTTATGAACGAGTAGACGAGATAATTTGGGTGAAAACTAATCAGTTACAAAGGATAATAAGGACTGGCCGAACAGGTCACTGGCTGAATCATGGCAAAGAACATTGTTTGGTGAGTTATTGAATATTTACAAACTATAATGTTTGTCCTACATCTAGTGATACAAATTAAGTGAGACACATTGTGTATTTTTAAGGTGGGCAAGAAAGGCAACCCTCCCAGTTTGAACTGTGGTTTGGATTGTGACGTTATAGTTGCCGAAGTACGAGACACTAGTCACAAGCCTGATGAAATATATGGTATTATAGAACGATTGTCACCCTTTACTAGAAAAATTGAGTTATTTGGACGGTCTCATAATATTCAACCCAACTGGTAAGTTTATACTTTGCTGTCAATTGTATTAGGTATTTAATTTTAATGGAATTTTTTATGCAGGATTACACTTGGAAATCAGGTAGAAGGTATCAGGCTAACTGATCAAGATCTCATAACAAAATTCAGAAAAGCATACCCATCAGGAAATTGTTTGACAACATTAAAGAGGAATACATGAGTTTGTTTATATTGTTATTGTTGCTGTTGTATCAATCCATTAATTGTTGTAATAATATGTAAAAAAGAACAAATAATCAGTTTTCAAATGTTTTATTTTATTATGTTATTTATTTGTTGTAAATTAATAGTAAGTATGAAATTATTAAATTATGACAAATAAAAGTACCCAAAATAAATTGACCAGTTTATTTAGTTAAAATGTCATTTTATAAATTTCTTGATTTGTATACAATATGACATCGTATTGGCACTTGCTTTATTTAATATTCTCGGGTCGGTTAAGACGTGTAATGTTATCAACTTGACAGGCCAATGCTTAAGAATATAATTTGTTTGAGAATACAATATATTATTAATTAATAAATAATCTTAAAATTAAAATTCAATACCCTAGAACCTAAGTATTAGGTAATATGTTTGAATTTGATTGATTTTCATGCCACGTCGCTCAATTATATAATATTATAATAATGTAGTACATAAAATTTATATAAGAAAAAAAACTTTTGGTGTTTTAAGAATTTCATTAGTAGAGAAAAATGTGTTACAATGATTTACACTTTACAGAGTTACTTGTGGCATTGACATAAATTCTAACACATTTGAGGTGGTTAACCATAGGCGGTTAGTTACCATAGTTCATTAAAATTTCAGAGGAGCTAACATTTTTAAAATCAATGTAAGCGGGAGGCTTCGATCCCACACAACTAAAAAAGGAGTGGGCTTGACGGACTTTTGGAAAGCCTCCTCCCGATTTCCGCCAATGTGGTTAAGATTTAAAATATTATACAATTTAATTAAATTTATTGACAAATCACGGATGTAAATAAACCCTTCTGATGTTTAAAAAATCATATTAAATTAAAATACAAATATAGTATGTACCTAATGCTTTATGAAAAAAAACGCAACATAATATTAATATCTTTGTGAATAATAATAATAATAATTTATGTATACTTCATCATGCATTATAGTATAATATTAAAATAAACAATATTATTATGTAGGATCAGTACAAATAGTTTTTGGGCTCTTCGGTGGGCTGCCCGCAAACGCCGTGATACTGTTTGCTAACCAACGACCGAGACCGGCAGTTCTCCATTTCCAAGAAACAGTCGTTGCTGTAAGTCTTCAGGTCTGTGCCGCAAATCGGGTCGTACAGAGTCGGACACACCCGCTGGCATCCTTTGAACTGGAAACCGGTCAGACACCTCTTCATGGGCACCACGTACACGTGTTTCCTGTGGAAAGATAAATACTATCAGGACTCTGGGTCTTTGCACCTGTATCGTGGAGATATATATTTTTATTTTTTAACTCGTTGTAATGAAGTCCAACCAACTCCAAGTTGCCCAGCTAAATCTCAAAAAAACTTTTTTTAGTGTGCATTTTCACTTTTCAGTTAGGTATTGAAAGGTATTCAAAATCACTTTTTCAGTTAAAATGCTATGAAAATATATTTTTATATTTCCAATAATATGATTTATTAAGTGGTTTGAGAATAAATACACCTATTATCAATATTGTAGAAGAGAAGTTAATCTACGCCTGTTTAAAAGTAAATTATCGATATTTTAATTACCAAACTCAATAATTAAAACTCAAAAAGTAAAATATCACAAGTCTTTGAGCTAAATATTGGACATTGAAAATCGAATATTGAAAATCGACTCCTATACAACTATACAAGCCTAGATAAACTTCTTCTCTTCAATTTGTATGATAGGTGTTCACGCTGTAATGTCATTCATATAGTAAGCTATATTATTGGAAATACGAAACTAAGTTTCAGTGTTTTACTAAAATTCACATTTGTAATTTGTGTGTTAAGTGCGTCCACGTGCGGGTGCGCTCTGCTATTCATTTTATAAACAGTCAGTCACACAATAATGATCACTTATTACGCACACATTTACACGACCAGTAAACACATAAATAGAAAATTGCCTATATTTAACCCCTTAGAAACGGTCGACATAATTCATATTCCTTAAGTCCGGCCAACTCTTTGCTCATGCTGTATCGTAACGGCGCCCGTATCCCTGGCCGGCTGGCCCTAATACAAAGTGTACACTCATCACTCACCCACAGTTTTCGCGTTTCATTTCGCATTCGTTCCTGTACAGCTTGTTGTCAGATCCGCAAACGAACTCTTTAGTCTTATCACATTGTTGGTGGCACAGGGCCGTCGTGGGACAGTGGTGCGGCGGAACTGCCACGACTTTTTGCCCGCATGTGTTCATCTTCAAATCGCACTCCGACCTGTCAATAGTAAATTGTCATAATATTATTACCACCATGCAAGTATACAGGGGGTTAAGGGGCTTAACCCCCCCCCCAAAAAAAAAAATTATAAATAAATAATAGTTGTGTAATTTATTTATATATAGACTACCCCCCCCTGAATAAATGTCAATTCAATTTTATTCGTTGGGTAAAAAGTTTGGCAATTTAATACAAGGGTTCTAATATATGGATGGAAAAATTAATCTAGTTGGTGTATTGGGAAGGCGAAAGTTTAAAATCCCAATAGTTTTCAAACGCGTAAGGATGTACAAAAAAAATTAAAGAAAAACGTGAATTTTTACGCAAAATCTATTTTGGTTTTTAGTGAAACTCTAAAACAAATGACCGTACATGTAATTTACATGTAATTTTCACTGACTATATTTTATATTAGAATTTTCTATACACCATAAAATTTTAAAAATATTTCGACTTGTTTTGAGCTGTTTACGGACATTTTTAGTTTTTGAAACGAAGTTTTTTATGGCACGATGTGGGGCTAGTCAAGAAAAAACTCACTGACGAAATACTATTTTTTATAATATATTAAACATTTATTTTAACCAAAACATCAAATTTTCATTCAATCATACTGATCGATCTAGTAATGCGATAATACTTTTAAAAACAGATTTGAATTCGTTATTATGTCTACTTGAGATTGGTCAGTCCACTTTATTTTCCCAATGTCAACCCCCAACCTCTAAAAATTTAGATTTAATATTTTGGAATTTTGGAAATTTCAAACGTTGATTATTCTGGATTTATTTTGAATTTAAAGCAGAAATCTTAAAATGTGGACTGACCGATCCCTAATAGAAATTCTAACGAATTCAGATCAGTTTTCAGAAATATTATATCACTATCAGATCGATTGGTAAGATGGAACCAAAAAAAAAAGGGGGGAGCGGTAAGTTGTAGGGACGGTCTGCAATAGATTGTTTATAAATATCTTACGAATATTGATAATATAATTATTGATAATACATCGCTACACTACACTATATTATACATTTATAATTATTATAGTTAATAAAATATATATGTAATAAGTATATCTTACTAATATTATAAACGTGAAAGTTTGTAAGTATGTTTGTTACTCTTTCACGTAAAAACTACTGAATGAATTTTAATGAAACTTTACAATAAATAATAATATAGCTTATTCATCAAAATAACAAATAGGCTACAAATCACCCCCCTAGGTCCAACCAGGGTATGTGCTCAAACGGGGATTTAGAGATTTACGGTGGACATTTTTGTTTATAAATGGTCGCCATAAGTTTTAAAGCTATTATAATAATAATTATTGGTTGCCGTGAAATCAGTGTATTCATTAAATGCATTTAATTTTTTGTACTCTGTGTTTTGATATTATATGTATCGCAATTACGTAAATATTGAGCGTATTATACTCACATATAAGTTACGTACATAAAACAATTCCACGTTTTCGTGTATGAGGAGGAAATATTGGTTGACAGACTGGGCATTCACAATTAGTCCTTCCGTTTAGGAGGAGTTCAGTGACATACTTGGTACAACTTTGATACTTTAGAGTTAAATTATAAAGTTACGTACAAACAGCCCGGGGTCCGCGATCTACCACAGATAGATTGCCTTCTGCGAATCAGAATTTTTATCCCAGGCAACAGAAGAGTTAAGATAAATTTTGAACACCATATACCAAATATTAAATAACGAATTGAACAAAGTTTGAGTCATATAGAGTTGGTACATTTAACGGGAAACAAAGTGCACGGGATCATATATATAAGTATTGAATTGTACGTAGGTAATAATATATTTTTTGTCACAAATACAAATGCACCGAAAGTTTGGTTTTCGATAGCGGTTGAAGCGTTGGAAAGCGACCTTTTTCCGTCTAGCTGGCTGTAAAGTGGGAACGGGAATCCCCATAGTGCCGTGGAAAAAAGTTGAAATCTTCAAAAGTGTTGGGCTCGCATATCACGCTTATTCCATGCACAACCAGACACTGAAATCTATACCACGGTCCTTACAAAGCATGAACTTTTGGTTACACCTTATATACATATTATAATTTCCTTGCATGAAGCGTAAACATTTTTATTTCATGAAATTGTTTTCGTAGAATAATGTGTTTGCATATATGTTGCATATAGTGCTTTACCTTTCTCATGATTACATTTTTTTGTGTGTCACGTTTGATATAGACTAGGTTATAGAAAACGGGTACAACGCGATTATAATAATTATATCTGCATATTATGCGTCTATAATTATTATAATATATAAATTATAACAATTTGGTGACTTTAACATAAATTTTAATGATAAGAAATCGGAAACTTTTAAAACTTTCCTTATGGCCACATTAAATTTACATAATATGATAAATTTAACAATCCAGCAGAATCTACAAGACTACAACAAGAGATGACACCACAAACGATGCAGTATTTTCAAGATATTTGGAAAAAATTGCATCACAAACATAAGTATCATAATATTATTTCAGTTATCACAGACCTGTAATTTCGATTATTGAATATGATTAATATAATAGTAATTAAATAATAATAATAATCATTTTCATTTTCATTTATTTTTCACATTTACTTTTATTTTTAATGGTTCCACTAAAATGTATTTGTAATCTACAATATTTGTTGTAAAAGAAACGGCTAAAGTGCACTTTACCACCCCATGCATATTTTTCGATTTTTTTTTTTGGAACTTATGTAACTCAACGAGTTAAGAACGATGGTGAAATCAAAATTTGTCGCTCTCACTTAGTTTCGAAGTTATGGCCCTTGGAAGTAAGCAATTTTGAGTTTTTTTACGCATGAGCGCAACGCTACGTGTCACGTCTTTCGCGATTTTTTTTTTTCTTATTCGTGAGACTACTAAATAAAAAATAAATGAGTGAACAAACACGGGACTAAGAGAGGTGAACTTCACTAGAACGCAGCACTTGACGTAATGACATTTTAATTGTGTATTAAAATATAGTTTCTTAAATAATATAATATAATCTAAAATCGTATTTATAATTTAATGATTAATATAATTAATTATTATCAGGTAGGTAGGTACCTACTATAGGTATAATGCGAGAATTTATTTAAACCAGATTGACTATTTCTACTTCTAGGAGAGCAATATTTTTAATTGTGAAAATGCAATTTTCATTTTGAAAAATGCAATTTTCTTAACCCTGTGACCCACTTGGGGAGGTGTTGCATAGCAAATCGGGGGATATTTTCGTTTTTAATTGTCCGAGCGAGCGCAGCGAGTGAGTGACCCCGCTCGGTGATTGGGTGGAACAAAAATGCAATTTTCTTAACCCTGTGACCCACTTTGGGAGGTGTTGCATAGCAAATCGGGGGATAAATTATTATTGCACTATCGTTTTAAACAAGTTAGAATACGTAAGTACAAAAAAATAACAAAAATAGTCCTCCGCGCGACATTATAGAGTAGTGTTGCGCGCATGCGTATAGACGTAAAATTGAAAACTTTGGAAGGCCATAACTTCGAAACTAAGTGAGAGCGACAAATTCTGATTGCACCATCGTTCTTAACTCGATGAGCTACATAAGTTTAAAAAAAAAAAAATTCGAAAAATTTGCATGGGGTGGTAAAGTGCACTTCGTTTCTACCGGGTGTCCCGTGACAGCACTATTTTTTTTTTTCTATAAATGTATCAACAAAATTGTGTTCAGTCTATAAATTTTACAATCTGGTCATTTTCAGCAGGCTGTATTGCCAATAAGTCGTTAGTAAAGCAGTCTATGGACTATGACTAGACTATATAGGTACATAAATTGATAATTACTCGGGCCGTAACTCACCAGCTACAGCTAAAATATTATCGGGTCGGAATTCATCGGTCTTCCCTTTCCAACATAGACCATAGTTAACCACACATCGGGTCACAACTGACCCGCAGCCAAAAATATTTATCAAAATTGTTGTTCAACTAATAATTATATTTAGGAGCTGAAAATTGTAGACATAAATCAATATAGGTACCTAATCCACTAAAACGATTTTACTATCAGTTGCATTAACTCAATTATCTACCCACAGTCTGTTTGTACGGCCATCTACAAAATATTCATGTTCAGCGTATATCGTATTATGTACGGTCACGTTGGTTTTAAAATTAGAGCGAACTGACCTCTTATATGAAATGTAAAAGTAAGATTATTATCATAGGCTTTTAAATTATATTTTAATTTTAAAGCGAGTTAAGAGTACTTTAAGATGTACTGCAGTTATACACTAGTATTTGAATTGGGGGTTTTTATTCCGTGGATTTCTTTTCCGTTTACCCTATAGGCATTAGGTGAAATAACTGTCTATATGGCTATAATATCAGCGAATACTAACCTGTAAACGTTGCCGTCGGACGCGCACACCGGTTCTTCGCGTTCGTTTTCACAGCTCTGTGGACACTTTTCAGTGGACAGCAGCGATGAACACTTGCCCAAGTGTGCCATTTGTATTCCTCTCCTGAAAAGACACGGTGCGATGAATTTTAGTGACAATAATAACGTTTATAGAGAGTGTCACACATATTTCTTTTTTTCCTAAACTGTTTGTTCTGAAATCCTGTCAGGAGCCTATTGTAGCGTACGTAGGTATTACATAATAATATGATAAATTATAAATTATAAAATAAATATAAAATGCTCTTTAAGATGTTCATACGTTCTAAAATAATATAAGCAAATCTGACATTGTATATTTAGCAATTTAATTGATGACTTACTTAAAAAAATTCGGTAACCAGGTGTTCAATTGAATCGATCGTTTTACCCACCCATTGTTCATATAAATATTGGTATTATTATAAGTACCTATATCGTATACCTAATATTATTTTACTATTTAAATCACTTCTAGTGTTTTTTGAAAGTTGTAAAGTCTGAAGTCTTAACCAGCCAATGTCACCCACGACTGCATGATTTGTATGCATTTTATGTTAATTTATTATTCAGTAAAGTGCAACTTCGATGATTGTCGGATCTCATCAATGAGTATTATATCGAGGGCTCAACCGTATCGAGCACACATCGTGTCGATCATCGATTATTGCATATTATCTAATATCTTTCATTATAATATTATTATTATGTTTATTAAACTTTACTGCAAGATATTTTTACACTTTTAACATTCTTACAGTGTAAAAATTGAAAACCACATAAATTACCGTGACACGTATATAATAAAATACATTGGTGCCGATTTTTTTGGTGGTTACCTATATAGGTATAACTTTCATTTTTAGGGCCTTAATTCGTTTTGATTACAATCATGCCTATGGCCTATTCACTTAATCTGCGTTTAATGATATATAAGTAAAATGTTTAGTATTATAGTGTATTATAATATTGGTACTTAGTACTTACAAACAAGTAGCCTGGTCCAATTGGCATTGATTTTTATAATTCTGAGCGTCGTTTCCACAAATCGGGTCCGCATCATCTGGACACTGACCCTTGTTACACTTGTTGATCCTGGCTCTACACTTTTCCAAATCTACCTTAGTCACTTTCTTCTTGGTCTGTTGTCTGTTAAACAAAAATAGACCGTCTAAGTATTCCTAAAAATACCTCGAAATTCTGACCTAACCCAACCCAACCTAACTCCTTGTTTATGATGTGAGTTGAATTTAGTATTGTAGGGGAATAGGGGTTTCTCAAGTCAGGTCAGGTCAATATTCCTTTTTATTCCGCTCTCACCCGCAGTTGAGCATTTTCATCTCGCACTCGCTACGGTAAACGTTTCCATCGGAGCCGCACGTCAGACGGTCCTTTTCTTTGTCGCAATTCACTGGACACGCGTTCGATGAACCGACCCGGTTGCGTTCTTGGCTTAGGCAGAACGCCATGGGAACCTCAAACACGTGCTTGCCGCAGTTTTTGGACTTCATCCGGCATGCGTTGCTGTAGATGTTGCCATCCGACCCACACGTGGGTTTTGACACTCGCCAACACGATTCCCGGCAGTGTCTGGTCGTCTGACAGTGTTTCTTGGATGTCCTCACTACCCCTTGTCTGCGACAAAAATAATTTTTATATTCTCGTGTAAAAATAAACGTTACCTATTATTCGGGTTAAAATAGATGTGTTAACTAGTTCAAGAAAAACTATGGTTCCTATCTCATTTTTTAGAATATAGGATTCCTTAAAATATTATTTCAACTCATAAAATATTACTGATGGACAATACTACTTAATTAATGGATGCAAAGATGAATAATGCATACGGCATATCTACCTAATTGTTAAAATGTTTGCTATTACTGATCCGGTGTACTTTAACTTTTAAGATCAATTTGTTCAGAATGTTCAGATACTAATCGTTTGGTTTTAAATTAAAATGCATCATGCATCAATGATTAAAAAAAAAAACTCCGTGCTTAAAATTTTACGATTTTTAGAGCGACGGTTATCATTTGAAAAAAAAGTTTGTATCGACACTGCAGAACACTTTTTAAATGGCATAGAAATCTAAATATTAGAAAATATGGCTTTAGTAATTAAGTGCCTATATCTTATACTCGAAAATTTCAAAAATCTTAATTTCAATAAATACATTTATAAAAAGCATTCTTGATAAAATATCACCTTTGTGTATATAATTATATAATATATATTATATGGATAATAAATATAGATCATACACATACCACCAGATTGATATGTCATTAATTATTATATTATATAAATAAGTATTCTGACCCTTACCCGCAAGTGAACAGTTTCATCTGACAAGTGTTCTTGTAAACGTTTCCGTCGGATCCGCAAATAGGTCCATCCATAGGCGCCTGGTCACAGTTTACAGGACAGTTTTCCCTGTGGGCTGATATGTTGTTACATGGTCCCAAGTGCGACATCGACGTGCCAACCCTGCGCAAAGCGAAAGTGGATGTTATACAGAATGCGCATGATTATAATTTATAATATTTACATCATAAAATGAATCGTAGATCGTGGTTGTAACATTCGATATTATAAAGTATTATATTTTATTTCATTTATCTCGATTGAACTAAAACAATCATTGCCCTAAGCGTACTCATATATTTCCAGTGTGGCTGTGGTTTGAAACAATTTTAATGGGATTAAATACTTTTTAGGAATATTTTCTTGAGTGCCTATAGGTATATGTAAACATAGCCATATAGGTATTTACTAGACAAATTATGATATTTGAGGAAGGATCAATGTAAATTATTGAGTTGGAGTTAATTGTCCTGGATACCTACACCGGCAGAGTACTATATTGTATATAGATAGTCGCATATATTCTGATATTCACACAAGTATTTTCTCCTATATGACTATATATCATATTATGAATGATTACCTAGGTATGTTCTGTTTGCTTTTAAAACCAGCCAACTACCCTGTTTGTGTATGCCTAAGTACAATGTATATCAGTGATGTATGCAGGAGGGGGTAAGGTGTTGTGACCCTCTCCGAAAATTATTAAATAAGAAAAAAAAATTCATTAATAAATAATTTTCAGAAAAAAATTGTCAACAATTAATTTTCTACCAGCCCCCCTCCATCAAAAAATAATACAACTCTGGATACACCACTGTATTATATATTTATATATGTTTATAATACTTTTATATAATACTTATATGATGTCAGTCGAGTATGTAGGACGTAAGTACCCGACCTATACAGCTATACCGGTTTTCCTTTCGCTTTAAAACAAATCATTGTTAATATTTTATTTCTTTTTCATCCCCTACATAAGTTTGTGTACACCACTGATGTGTGTTATATATATATTCACAGACAGCTGTCTATTGCTTTATTTAATATTTATATATAAGACGTACTGACCTACATATTTCCACTTGCATCATACATCTGTTTAGGTACGTCCGGCCATCGGTACCACATACCGCGTCCTGTTCTTTGCCACAACGATGTTCACAATTCGATCCATAAGCCCGCAGACACTGCGTTGAGCTTTCTGCCACGGCTATGCCTATAGTATACACACGCGGTAAAGGAGAAAAAAGAGCGCAATCGGTATGAGTATAATTTTATTATCAATGAATCGGAAACGTTATTATAACGATAAAGGTATCATCAAGCGTAATAACAGAAATAATTTATTACAATATTATGTGGTATTAAAAGGACGCTACACAGTCTTACAAGTGCGGAACATACCAAATTTACGCTCAGCAGATCATGTCCAACTCTGTTATTTTAAAAAATAGAGTGAATCGGACCTATTATGAAACTTGATGGTAAGAATATTGTCTGTGTTTGTACGTGGGTTTATTCAGTTTTTAAGCGAGTTAGGAGCATTTTTAATTTAAGGTGTATTATATATATGTATTACGTATACCTTGCTAAAAAATAGTTAATAAGTTTCATATTTAGTCGATTCACTCTAATTTTTAAACTAACAGAGTTAAACTTGATTTTCTGAGCGTAAATCTTGCCGTGTAGAGTCTTACAGTTATGAGTAACAATAATATTATATTATAATTTTCACCTTTTCCGCAAGTCTTCTTTTTCAGTTCGCACTCGTTCGGATAAATTATGCCGTCCGAACCGCAAACCGGTTCTTCGGAACTTCCCTGCGGACATATCCTGGGACACGCGGAATCCCTGGCTCCGGATGCGCCTGCGGTAATAACAATAATTGATTTTATTAATGAGGTACAATGATAATAATAAATAATAATAATACACAGATTTCTACACTATAGGTAGGTAGTAGGTACAATAGGAATTCTGAATAAAACGAATACAAAATAATTAAAGCTCGTTTGTTATGTTTTGAGTTGGACAATTAGGTAGTACATAGATATAAAAATTTCAAACTATTTATATAAATATATAATATACTGAAATACAAAATATACCTATATTATTATAATATATATATACATATTATTTAGATACATATCCGTGTCAATTTTCCAACCGATAAAATGGTGAAATGAGTTTAATTGTATTGTATAGGTAACATGAGCTTTTAAACTAGTGTAGTAGGTACCAGGTATGGTATACCTATTTAGAAGCCCGTGTAATAATATATTATAATCTGAACAATTAATTCCGATTTCAATACATATGTATAATATAAGTGGGCGTAAAATTATCGGCACGTGACACACTTCTCAAGTTTTCTGCATGTCATAATATTATATTTGAAACGTTATTGAACTACTTATTAGTTAATAGTTATTAATAATAAATGCTTCCGCTCTGCAGCGTAGACAATTTCAAAGATATTTGACCGAACTACCCAAGCAACGAATGCTTTATGATATACCTATAGGCTATAATATATTATACGTATATATGCGCGATATGTACTGTTCGCGTTCGCTGACTTGCTATTGTATAGATAAACGTCAATACGTCATTCTTCAAGGATGCAATTCTAAACGATATGTGTCTATATTCAATCGTACTTAAAGTTATTTTTTTTTACACTTCCAATGTGCATGTGCACATATCATTATACATGCATATAACAAAGTGCAGTCTAAAATCTAAAAAGTTCGTCAAATACATTAAGAAGTTGTCTAGGTACGCTTTAAATCTGTATTGACACTATTAGTACAGTAACAGTATATAATTGTCCAGTGTTTCTCGAGCTCTATATATAATATGCGCACGTATATTGCCTTAAAAATCTTTGCAAGACAATTGACACTCAATTGACAGTTTAACACTAATTAATAATATCATATGGTGGTACCAAAAAGTCTTATCAAAACACCACTACACCAGCTAATCCCTATTATACCTGATTCTGATATATATATATTATATATGATAAATTCATAATTAACAACAATATACCATCTATAAATTTGCCACAGCGTGCGTATCGGTGTATATTTTATTTCCGGAGCGAGCGTGTGAGAGTACAGGAAAGTGCTGGAAATGATAATAATTAAATTTTCTGCGAGTCTTGTCGATATAGCCTACCTAATAATAAACGTTGTCGTGTTTCAGGTTAATATTTTAATATGGATTAAATTTTCGTCCGTCGGTCTGTGTCACGGCTCTCGAGTGCCGTGATTTACAGTGTCGTTTTTTTATTACGCATTTGTCGTTCGTATATATATATGGTAAGTGGTAGGTACCATGCAAACGCTCAGTCACGTCAATTAATCCCCCGCTTTACCGCACCGTCGTGCTTATAAAATATAATATATGAATGTAATATTATTGTTATGTATGAACGACCGTGATTTCCGATCGATCACGATCGTTGATCTCGGCTGTTGTTTTTTCACTGTGCCGTTCGTAGGAATATGTATTATATTATTATTATAATTCTGCTGGTTAATGTACTGTGTTATAGCTACGTATATATTATATTATGTACAGTCACTGGTCCTGTGGTTATATGTTTCTAGTCACTCGTTTGTAATATATGGACAGGAACCTATTACAGATCCAAGTAAGCATTTGTCTTACTTAGTACCGGATCAAGGTTGTTTCCTCTCTTATAATGTGTTATGTATCTACGTATTATTATAATAAATGATTATTTTGCTGTCTAAATTCCTACTTCGTCGTCTACCCTCTCCCAGTAAAATTTCGTTCTATAAATTTACTTTAAGCTTTTTTTAATAACAAAAAATAATCGCAAGTTTTTAAACTTCTAAATTACAATAAAAAAATAATATTCGATTTATTTTCCTGTAACTCTATTCTATAGGATGTCCACTGAGGATATACCCATTAGCCGTAGAAGTAGACCCGCCGCCCGGACAATTACCATTATTTTGCAGTTTTACTTATAAACTAAAAAAAATTATTAAAAATCATGAAATTAATGAAAATAAAATATTGAAAAATCAAAATGTTCACAAAAATAAACTCTATCTTCAATTGTTTTAAAAATAAAAAAATCATTTTTTAAACTTTTCTACCAAAAAATTAAATAAAATTAAAAAATAAAATATGTGTAGTCCTTGTCTCTGTGAGTCTAATAAAAAAAAAACATATTTATGATAAATTTATTATCTCAGGAGATATCGCAATGGGTAAATCCTAGTGGGACACTGTATATGTCATATAAAGGCTATAACCTTAAACTCAGAATAATATGATATATATGTATAGTATCTTCAAGAAAAACGATTCTGAGCGTAGGTGGTTTGTAAGTCTGGATTTTTTATATTGTTATTATTTATGATAGCCTGTAAGTTGAATTAATATTATACTATTATAATTTTTTATTCGTTGATAATTGCTATGGTGATAAACAAAGCGTTAAAAATTAAAATCCCATTTTTAGCTGTTTTACGTAATTTGTCGGTAGTTTTTCCCTTGGCATTAAATAACTATAGAGAAAATAAAAAAAACCAGCCAAGTGCGAGTCCGACTCGCACACGAAGGGTTCAGTACCATCATGGCACACTGCTTATATTATATATTCTATAGGATTTTTAGTTTTGAGGAGAGGTAATTCCTCGATCCGCTCAGAATTTAAAAACGGTTTCTCAAACTAAAAATCATAAAGAATAAAAATATAAATTTCAACAAGAAATCGTTTGTAGGTACACTACTATTAATAAGGATATTATTTATTATTCACACATAATACAGGTTTTTTTTTATTTTAAGGTCGATGGTATATTGTGAGGTACCTATAGCCGAACTGTCAATACTTGAAAGACACACGTTGAAAAAATCACCTAAAGTAAAATCGTCAACTAATAATGTTTTTAATCCCCTGTTTCGCCGAGGGTATTTATATTTCTTGCATTCGGATTATACCTATAATATAACGACTTCGTTTTGATCTGACGACTGACGCTACAGTTTCACGTGAATATATTGCACATAATCTCTACGTCGACAATAGTTGACTCTTAAGTCGGATTATATGTATATATTATATTGATGTACAGACTTGCAAGGTGTGTAAAACGAGTTTCCATCTGGAAACACTCGATACGATGAGTATTACGTTTACATTATGATTATAGCCGTACAAAGCTATAATATATCGGTCAAAATATACTTACAAGTGCTTACAGGATTAATTTATACATATCTATATAGTATATATATTATATACCCATTTAATATCTTAAATTTACCCTCAATATAATAAAAAATAGTTAATATTGCAATGTCTGTCAACGACTGCATAGACGAAAATGAGGAGGGGGATTTAAAAGCTAAGCCTCCAACATTTCCTAATTTTTTTTTAAGCTTATTCGACATTGTTATAGTAGGACTTTACCCCCCCCCCTAATCTCAAACGCTATTTACCCCTATGCTATTGAGAGAAATTTTGTCTGGATGTCTGTTGACACTTCTATTCCAGCATTTTTCATTTAATTGATATAGTTTTCCGGATAAGAATAAGATAAAAAGGCAGTGGGACGCGTGTTTGTAAAACGTTTTTAATAATAGTTAGTTCACAGTCCTGTAAAGTATACGAATACAAGTATTTGAATACTTGTATTTAAATACTTTTTGAAGTATTTATAATTTATATGGTATTCTAAATTCAATTTTTTTCATGTATTTTTAGATTCTGAGTGGAACGATGAATGTATTGATTTTACAATGATGTGTGTTTTTTTATTTTTTTATTCTATTGTCTTTGTACACGATAAGTAGTCGAATTAATGCTTCGATTTTCAACTTCAGTATCTTGTTCGATTGGAAAGTGAATATCATTGGTGCATTGGGGAGGTCAAAATTTAAAATTCCCAGTAATTTTAAAAATTTTTCTTTTTAAATCTATGATTTTAAAATGTAATACAAGATTCCTTACAAGATTATCTACCTTTATCAAAAAAAAATTTCTAAGAGAGTCAAATTAAATTTTTATGAGTGTTTGAAATTCAAATTTTTACAACACTGGATATTCACACGGTTTCGCATGTAGCGATTTCCTTATTTTGTTGTAATTCAAAAACGAATAACTGTAGATACATGAAAATTTCACTGAATGGTTATTTTATCAAAATATTTTGACTCTTTTTGAGCTGTTTACGGACAATTTCATATTTCAAATTTCAAATTTTTTTTCTATATGAATATCGATAAAGTTTTATCTGTTGGGTCAAAAAGTGTAAAAATTTAATACAAGGCTCCTGATATATTGTTACAATAGCAGATAAAAAATATTAAAAATACCTAGGGACAATTTTTTTTTTTTTATAATCATTTAAAGATCGAATTTTGACAAAATTTATCAAAGTTAAAATTTAATAATTATTTTGAAGCTAAAAATGTATAAAATGTTCAACTTTCATATCTAAGGATTGAAAATTAAAAACAAGATTACATGTAAATAGTTAATTCTGTTACCAAAAAATCTAAAAAATACACAAGCACAGTTTATTTTTATAGTCATTTCAAGTTCAAATTTGGACGAAATTACATATTAAAAAATCTAGTTATTTAGTTGTGATTGTATAATATTATTCGTGGGTAGTTGAAACTTCTAAATTGTACTATTATATATCTGTGATAGTATCACGGTTTTTGTTGATGTATAACGCGTTATAAGTACCTAATTTATATTGTGATATGATTAATTTGGAATTTATTATATGTCAATATTTTTTAAAATTCCATAGATATGTATATTATAATATGTCTTAAACCTAGACTGACATACCGTCTCCGCTCAGAATCGTTTTTCTTATACAATGATATTATATCATTGAATTCAAATTTAATACCATCCATTATACAGTGACCCATTTGTAACCTACTGTACAGCAGAGCACCTTTTTAAGTATTTTGAATACTTTTTAAAAGTATTTTTAATAAAATTTAAATACTTGTATTAAAATACCATGAAGTCCATTTTATTAATTTTAATTTATAGTTTTTCACAAATAATTTACATCAATAAACATAATATTGTTTTCGTTGAAAACTAATATTATGTTTTTGTATAGTAAAAGTAGGTAATAACAATATTTAAAATAAAAAAAAATACCACATCAAATTTTATATGGTTCCGGTATTGGAATTTTTTAAGAAAACTGAAAATCTAATAATTTTAAAATAGTTCCATATTAAAAGTTAATACCACTTTTTATTTTATTTTTTCGTTAAACTTTAATCAATATTAGTTGAAAAATATCTAAATGCAAAATGAAAGATGTGAACATGTATTTATCTCTAAATAGTTAGAAGACAGACATGTTAATAGTAATTGTTAAAATCTATGGTAAGTAGTAACATAATATAGGTAACTCTACTGATGTACAACATATAGGTATATATTATTATATAGCATAAAATTAAAAAAAGTACTTGTGTATTCAAATACTTTGTGAGTATTCGTAAAATACATTTTTATAATAGTATTTTTAATACTTTTTTATTCGAATACTAGTATTAGTATCTTAATACTTTTTCAACAGTATTTTTTACAAGACTGTTAAATCAATATGCATTTGCAACACCTGAATGATGTATTTTTTTTTATTAAAAAAGAGAATATTCTTACAATCTGTATACACTATACACTACAAGTCTACAATAATACATTTATACATAGTATATAATAATGTTTTGTTACGTATGTACCTTTATAGATTATTAATCTATCGTATATGCTACATAGCTACATGATCTATATCGATACTTAATAAAATAATTTATATCAGCATGCTATCAAAATGCAAATTTTTTATCCCGCGGGAAAGTTTTAGTTGCATTAATCACTTAGATACCTACAAGTTGTGCCGTACATCATATAGTAGTACATATACAGTAGTAAATTAGTCTTTACATGCCGCCGTTCAATTTCTATGTAGATACTCAAAAAATATTTGACAGGAATTACTTAAAATTTTCTTTTGGTGACATAATGACTCCGGACTAATTACCACCTTTTTTCATATGATGGATATTGGAATGATGGGGTGTGGGGCAGAATCCACCCCTCTCGGAGACTCAATCGCTCGAATAGTCGAATGCTCAACATACTCGTGGAAAAATCGCTTGCAGACCGGAACTGCCGTTGAGAAGTGCAGGTTTGTCCGCGTCATCATTATATTGTATACATATTATTATTATTACTTATACTGCAGTGACGGTGGTGACGGCGGCGGAATACGCGCGCGCACGTTACTTTCTATTGCCGTCTGGCCAGCCGGGTCTGCTGGAGGGTCACTAGCCTCGTTCTTTGTTATAACCGCGATCACAATAGAAATAGAAATGTGACCGTCGCATGACGGCTCCAGATGTCGTGGATGACCTACTGACCAGAACGTAAAAAATACATAAACACACGTCTCACACACTTCAAACACGCACACCGCGAATTTATTTAAATTAGTCTTATCGTTTACCAGTTATTTTTTTACACTCATCGTTTCCACAATTCCACGTAGGTACGCCGTTAATAATAATAATAATAATAACGTGTATTATAATTACGTACTTATAATATGATATAATATACTACCTATATGTATATCCAATATCCATATATCGTGTGGAGTTATAATATAGGTATTATATGCCTACTGCGTGTATTTCGATCCCGGAAATCCGTTCCATAAAAATAAAATTTGATTTAATCGTGCGTGTCCCGGTATAGATTATACCTAGTTCAAAAAGCTCTAACGTATGCTAACTATAAAACTGCAAGAGTAAAACTGGTTTATAACGTTTCGCGTAAGTATTATAATAATACATTATAATTTATAGTATAAGTATATGAGTATATTATGATAAAATATAAATGTTTGAAAAACACGTATTTCCATCTACTGTGTATAGGAATGTAATATTCCTTAAAATTATATACTGCGATGCAATTTTGTATTTTAACCATGCGGTGTAATGTCTTCTGTAATCTTAAAAGTTGGTTCAAATAATGTTTACGGTAAGGTTTATTAAGATCTAATTTAATGAGTATTAAATGGATACTTTAATTTCGTTGTTAAGAGATTTGATTAATGTTCCGCATTATTGCTTATTGGAATATCACTGTATGTCTGTATTTATTTACTCGTTCATTAAAATTGTGTTATTCTTCTAAATTTTATACAGTTATTACAGCAAACATATTTGCGGACGAACTGTCTGCAGAAAAATACTGCAATGTCTCAATCATTAGATATTATAATTTATATTAGGTATATCTATACAATATGTCAATATACCACCAAATGGCAAATAGTGCCTTCCAACAGCAATCTATATCATTGTGCATTTATGCAGACTCAACTACACAAGATGTGTTTGATGTAAAATAATGTACTCATTTTAAAATATATCTGAGGCTGGTTCGTTCAAGATTTATAAAATGGAATACATTTGTACCAACTCATAAAAAATAAAAATTCTAAAACAGTTATTACTATTTAAACCAATCGTTTCACTATTGTTCTAAAATTAAATGTAAATTTTTTTTTCTGATTTTGAAAGTAAATAGAAAAAACGGTACCTATTTATTATGTACTTATTGACAAGCCTGGGCATAAACGCGTTAAAAAGTTAAAAGTTAAGTTAAAAGTTAAGTTAATTTTAACTTTTAACTTAACTTTTTGAAATTTAATTTTCATTAACTTAATTTTTAACTTAACTTATTTTAATTGATATACACTTAATAAATAACGAGTTACTTTTAATCAAATTCAAGTTAAGTTAATTTATAAATAATTAAATAATAAATATAATAAAAAAAAATTATTATTGATATTACATAACCATTTATTAGAATAGGAAATTACAAAATATATAGTTAAATTAATTTCTCGTTCCGTTAACCAGAATTCTTCAAAAAAAATAACTCGATTAAATACATATAGATATAGCAATATGCAATAGCCAATAGCCAATTATATTATAACATAGAGGTGTATCGTATCTATTAGGATATACCGTACCATACAGCGGCATACGGGCATATTGTAATAATAATAATTAATAAATACTAATAACTAATAAGTAATAAGTAATATGATAAACCTATTATCTTATTATTTTGATATAGATACAAATCAAAAATGTACAATTCTGAAGAACATAATGTAAAATATTTTCGGCATAAATAGGTTATTTTTAAATTAAAACTAATTGGGTTGTGCCCATGTACATTTATATTTCAAATGTTTATATTTATAAACAGTCAATATTGTCAGTAGACAAAATATTCATAGCCCACA